GATAGGTCCCCGTTGGGAAATAGCGCAGCGGATCGCATCGCGCCAGGAAATACGGAAAAATGTGCTAGCGACACGCCGCGCAAAAGTCATCTGAAATTGATTTCGAAATCGATGGGAGGGGGGCGAAAAAATAGTGCGGAAGAAATACGGGGTTTCCCCGCGGTGAAAAGATAACCTCCGCGGGATGAAACGCGGCGTTATGGTAATACTTTGGAAAATGAAGAACGAACGTTTCAGGTTTCAAAGTGTTCCGGGAAATCTTGCCGCCCGACCACGCGAGCTAAGATTTAATGAGAATCGCTTTGATACCAATTTTTACTACGTTACGAGAGTTAGGAGCTTGTTTTTTGGGTTGTTCAGAGTAAAGGTACTGATAATGAGAAGCTCTATTATTTTGAGGAATGGAATCTAAACAGTAACGATATTAAGTCAGACTTTCTCGAAACAGGTCTCTGGCGTACCTTTAAAACGAGAGATACAATCCGACGAGTGTCTAAATGTCAATGATTCTCCACTCGCGTTGAAATACCGAGTTTCGACATTTCACAGAAACGCGACTAAAATTCCTGTCGCAGATATCGCGGTAAATGGCTAATATATTCTATGGAAGTTTAAATCCCGGCATGGAAGAGGAGCGCTAAAAACTACGGTGCACCTAGGCATCAGAACTAAGGGTAACCCTCGCGCACGAAGTTGCGTAGTTCTGCGGTATAATCCGGCAACGAAGCAAAGTTTTGCAACCTATAGCGCGGAAACGTTAACCTAGGCACGAACTACGGCCATTCAAGATTACGCTGTCAAAACTTGGACGACGTGCACATACCGTGTCGTAAATCTGTATCGCCGCGAGACAAAATTCCGGAAAATTCCCCGCAGAGGCGTTCGCCAAAAAACGCGAACAACCACGCTCTTGACAAAAAATATTGGCAGCTCCGACATTCTTTTGTATTCATACAATTTGTCTATAAACCGCGTGTATTCAAAACACGATTCTATTTCGTACGAATAAAAAATCTGTTCCTGCACCGTATAAAAATTTTGCAATATTTAATCGGTGAAGTTTTATATAATTTTACGAAGATTTCTTCTTGTCGCAATCGGTTTGGGAAATCCTCGGTTTTTCTAGAGAGTTATCAAAAAGAAAGAATGGCTAGCCTAACGTGGGACGATATATTTAAGTGGAGGCTCGCATCAGGTGGTCCATCGCGTACGAAACCGATTTTTCAATCGTCCACGCCGACGTTGGATAATTTTTCTTACGTTCCCGGACCTTGCTCGAGAGTCCATCTCCGTTTCTCATCGTTTCGGCACACTGTTCGTCCTTAACGCGAATAATGGTGGTTTATAGAGAGCATATTCCACCGGGTGTTTCAGAAACTTTCTAACGATGCGACGCTTTACGGCACACGCGATTGTCCTCTAACGCCAACTATGGCCGAAGCGGAGTTCGCCCGTAAGTAGTTACGACCGATTATGGTCGGACTCCTCCGAAGTTCTCCCGCAAGTTCCGCGGAACCATTCCGCGGCCATAAACGCAGGACGTAGCAAACATTTTGAAACGTATTCAAAACGACTACGACCGGTCCACAATTAGGTCGCTCCAGTCTTTTACGACTATTTAAATATGCGATAATTCTTGCGGTTCGGGTCGTAAATCGACTTGACGTGCTACATTTTTTATTAGTCCTGAAACTAAGTTGAGAAAGGTGGTTCATAATTTTCGATTAAGAACGTGGTTTATACTTTAGATATCCTTTCTACGATATGCTCGAACTTCGAGTCGATTTCCTATAAAAACTTGGAGTGATTATATTTTTAAAACTGAGAAAAAGCGTGTACGGTCTATCGTTCTTGGGGAGTTTGCATAGGGGGAACGAGAAATAATGAAAGGAAGAGAAGCAGCGTTCGCAGAAGTCTCTGGCTGGTTGAGTCCCGTCGGGATCGTCGAAGACAGCCCGAATTGGCTTATTAAATTTGCAACGGCCGCGAATACGTGTCAATTTCTTGGTTACGTTCGGTTGATTTGAGAAACGCCGTTGCCGTTTCACCTTTAGCGGCGCTCGATGCTTCGGTATTGTTGGCATTCTTCCTCCCCGGAGCAGACGACGCGATCTATTTTGTGTCAACGTGTCGCCGGGAGGAAATAGATAGCGGGTGCTCCTGTAATCCTCTAAATAAGCCCTGCGTCGTAGATGATTCCGCGGGCTTACGCTTTCATTCGACCGACTTACGAACTTCGTCTTAGAATCCACGTAGTCGCGGCGTCGTTCTAAGGGAACAAATCACCTGTCGCGATTCGGGGGAGGGCCGCGAGATTTTATTCGAACGCGGAAGAAAACGTGGGAACGCCGTTTGCGAGATACGGTCGATTTTAGAAACGCGTCAAGTATCTCTCGGGCAAAGTGCCGGGGCAGATAGCATTTATCGTACGCCATTATCTAAATTTGAAACGCGAGACCGACTGAAAAGCAGCGCACGGTTCGTCTATCGTTTTAGCGCAAAATGGCATATTAAAGTCAAACTCGAGTATGTAATTTTCTTGTGCAAATTTAAATTGGAGTACAACGTGCTGTTAGCGTAATATACGCGTACAGCTTTTGCGAGGGGAAACGTTGATGCGAAAAATAGTTGGGGAATACGAATCTCACAGTTCGCGATATCGATGAAAGGATTAAATCAGGCTTGAAAAATGTAGGTGAGCTCGGGGTTGGGCAAGGTTACGAAGAGTTAATTCGTTCCCTATCGAACGCGTCGTTTCGTGTCGGTTGTCCTCTCATCGGGAAACTTTCGCTGCATTCTTGAACATATATTAAACCGTGGTAAAAGCACGCGATCCCTGTGATCCGTGCAGCGATGTTTGAACTCCTTTGTGAATTCCTCGATGAAAGTGGGCCCTCGGATCGTGGCAACGCGGAATCTGTAATTTTAATCCCCGTCCGCTTCCTTTGAAGGATTCTTACCGGCGATATTTATAAAGATTGTACGCGAATTCGACGGGAACACGTATGCACTTGCAAACACGAGCACGCGTGCATTTAAACCATTATTAAATATATACTACCGTTGTTAAAATACAGATGCAAGTGATATTTTATGCATAAATTCTAAATAGTGACCGAAAGGGTTAAACGCGGAGGAACTAGGAATACAATTTGGTATGGCGGTTGCGCCGAATATAATCGGGTTACACGACTGGATGCGTTTTATTCATGTCAACGCATGATCGCGGCGAAGATTATGGATGAACATAACAGATAGAGTCCACTGTATGCGCAATCGTAGTTACAACGCCCTGACACTATTCAAATTGTTTAATACTCCAATGTTTCGAAGGTGTTCTGATACTAATAAATCTCGAATATTACTTTTGGAGTATCTTTAAAATTTCTTCTGTACAATTATTACCTTGGAAATGCTTTCTAAGTTTTCCTATCACAAATTCCTGCACTGCAAGAGACTTTTCTACGGTTGAAATATAGTGACCGTAAAAAGGAGCTACTCGCAGCTGGAAAAATGCGAACGCATTAGTTTCCTTTTATTAAAATAGAAATGTTATACCCACAATTCCCTTTCCACGCGACAAATAGGTTGCAAAAAACATACATATTACTTACGGGGAACTAGAAAATTTGTTCCGTAAGTTTTAAACCTCCTGCGAAAGGTACGAACACGCTATTTCGAAAGGGAATTGGTTCCCATAAATCGTGCGAATAACAACAACAACAACAACAGCTAGTTTCGTAATAATTTCATAAAAATGGCCAGCATGGCGAATTTTTCGGGCCGCCCCGCTGCATTTATTCCCGAACCCCGACGCGGTAAGTGCACTCAGAGACGAGATTCCGATTCAACGTGCAAAATCGCATGGAAAATCGCTCCCGATTCTCCCCGTATAATTGCTCTCCTCGTACGAGAGGTACCGGCATGCTAATCAATGCGCGAAATATTCAAATAATTTTGGAATCGCATTAACCGAGCATTCGAGCGCAGAAAAAATTCGACGAGCGACGCTCCTAACGAGGCCACTTTCGCCCACGACGGAAAAAAAAAGAAAATAAAAAAAAATGGCGCGTATCTGAAATTCAAATACGGGACGCGAATGGAATTAAGCCGGACGCGCGATCCATGGAGTTGGCAAAAACAAAAAAGATGTCGCCGGAGATTCACGGTTCAGAATGAACGCAAGAGGCAGCGATTCAATTCTCCTCGACGAAAGTCGTTAACGAAGTTTCGATTTTCCCCGAGTCGAAAGTTACGCGGTATCGAAACGCCTCGAGAATCGATCGACAGCCTAGGCTCGAGACACGGAGGAGATTGGATACTCGAGCTCGAAGTCGGCCAGAGAAGACTTGTTTCTCCCTCGACTTGACACCGTATCAGATTCCGCGATATAAGACGAGCCCTTGAGCTTCGCGCGAGATTTCGAGCACGCCCTGGTAGTCGCCAGCGTTGAATAATTGCTCGTTACGACCCACCGGGCTCGTCTTGCCCAACCTTTATAACAAACGCACCCGGAAATCCGACAGAAGCAGATCCTTTTCCTCTTTCTTGTCTCTGGTTACTTGTTACACGGTCCCATGCAAACGTTACGCGTTTCCCTGCTCGGGTCATTGACGCGCTTCTTCGTTTATTTAGGAAAACGTTCCATACGATTGTTATAATGTGTAGATCCTTAGGGATATTAATTGAATTAATGCTAGAGCTTGTATACTCATCAATTCATGGAAAATTGCACGAAGAAATATTCCAAAGCTCATTCCTTGTTAAGTTACACGCGTAATATAATATCTGTACGTTTCCTAAGAATGAAAAATAATTTTTCTTGCGTCTGTTTCTGTCATCGAGCAAGTTGCAACGACGTGCAATTACGCGGACGTTCTGAAATGATTCTCAGCGATTTTTAATGAAAAGTAGCAAATTGTCGAGGCACAGGACGCGTTGTATCGTATGTTGGATATATCGCGGCCGGGGATCTAAATTATTTGGACGTTTCTTTTCAGTGCGACGCGGGCGTGGCGGTTGACAGATTCTTCCACGCTATCTATTCCGCGAAGAAGGATGACCTGATACCGCTCTTGCTGGGCACCGCCTGTTCGGAGGTCACGGAAACGTTGGCCAAAATCGTGCCATACTGGAACGTGATTCAGGTCTCCTTCGGGTCCACCGCGCCAGCCCTCTCGGATTCTACCGAGTTTCCACTGTTCCTGCGAACTGTTGCGCCCGATTCCAGTCACAACTCGGCCAGGATAGCTTTTATTAAGCATTTCGGATGGGAAGCCGTCACTGCACTCTCGCAGAACGGTGACATGTACTCTCTGGTAAGTAACGGAACGCTAGGAAGAGCACTATGTCCAACAGTAAACGATAAAACATAGGACGATCTAACTTATCCACCCTTAATTCTTATCAGAAAGTTTTACTCTAAATAATCTATGCATCGAGGAGACGTTAAGGTGATTTATAATGCCTTTTGTGTATGAAAATTTGAGCAGCGAATTTTCTCCAAGACACAGTTTTACTTTTCCCCTCGTTGTACAGTTTTATTATTGCGTGACTCGTCTTGTATATTGGTCAAGATTACACGTCACGTAGACAGATAGGCGAGGACCGTAATTTATGGGCGAAAAGACAGATCTCTCTCGCATCGTGAACGTCACTCAGGGACATTCTTCGTATCTCCTCGCAGTACACCTGACCCAATTAACCCATCCTCGACTTCTTCGAACGACGACACGTCTCCCCCGGTAAAAATCGTGAAAGTCTATGGAAGATTTCGGAATGTTAAATAATCATAAAATTTATGTTATGGAAAAGCAACGTCCACTGCTTCGAGTACACTTTCAAGCAGTAAACGTTTTTACGGATCTCGTACGTTTGGGCATTATAAAAAAAACTCGTATAACACGGTGAGGAAATTGCGACAATCCTCGTATAACGTGGTGGTTTCGTATAAAACGGTGGAAGCTACAAGTATAGTAATGCACGAGCATTTTCAGCTGCGTAAACACTTTTACGCGGCGACTTTTGCGATAGCGTCGTAGTTGCTTTTCGAAAGAGCGCTCGAATTGTTTGTTTTTTACGCGGAGTAAGTCTTGTACAACCGTAATTCCCTGTATCCTGTCTATACATCAGCTTTGCTAGAAATATTATAATTATAATTTCAGATGAAAATCGGGGAGCGGATTTTGTCTTTTCCTCGTAAGAGCCTTTGCAGAAACGCTTATTAGCGAAAGCTGTATATGTTTAGATTATCACCCTTCCCCCTCCCACGTATCGTATTTTGTAAACATGACGGGTAAGCTCTTGTGTGGCAGACTGTAATTTGCATACAATTTTCTCTATAATGAAGATCATCCTATTTTGATTGTTTCGAGGGTGACCACGCTCGACTGGACGGAAACGTTTACGAATAATAAATGGCTTGAACGCTACTACGGCCAATGTAATTGAATTTTCTGAATAATTGTTTCGAAAACAAACCGTTCTGTAAACAACACTATGATAAAACGCATTGATTGGATGGGTCTAGTCAAAATTTAAATATGACGACTCAACGGTACGTAAAATTATACCAAATGAACGTTCTTTTTGCTCGACGGTCGCGGGAAAAATAAAAGTAATTATAAAGAATCGAAGGGAAAGAGGCACCAAACGGAGAGTGACAGTTGCAAAAACACAAAAGAGAGGACTGAATTAAATCGGATAATTATTCTACCTAGGAAAAGTATTTCTAGATACATAATTATCCGCTTCAATTCTTTTTCTCCCTTTTGTGATTTTATAGAAAGAGCATTCCTACGTAGATAATTATCCGTTTTATTTCTTTCCTTCCTTTTGTGTTTTTATAACTGCTATAGCTGTTTCCATTCGCTTCAGCCGAGTTCGTTCCCTTCGTATTTTACCGCTTTTAATTTATTGTTACAATTAATCGCGTTTTTTTCTCGCTGTTGATTAAGAAGAATCACGCGTGAAAGGTTCTGAATTTGACGCGTACGAGCCATCATACGCCAAATCGATCATTTATGGTCCTCGATGTCCATATAAATTGAAGAAGATCGAAGTCGTCGCGTTTCTAGTTTCGTTATTGTTTAAAAAATACGAGCCCTCGAATTTCTCTGTATTTAACAATATTTACGAGAACTATCAAAGATACAGACTTCGATCTTGTCTTTCTTTTAATAAAGATATTGCAATTTCGAGTCCCAGATAATTCTTTTTAATATTATACTTTTATTCTGCAAACTGTCTCTGTTCGATTTAGCTGTTTTAATTGGTGGGCATCAAAAACTGTGACGGCAAAGGCCGCTGTACGTTCCGATTCAACCAGACTGGAAGAGAGGCCTTAGTCGGATGTAACAAAAAGTGTCCCAATTTCACATAGGACATATCGTGCGCGATGCGTTCGAAAAATTCGTGGATACTGTTAATAAACGTTATTTACTTTAATCTTCGTTAAAATCCACGTCAAAGCTGTTTTCCCAAACGAACGAAAACTTAAAACAGTATTCGACTGTCCGGGAAGTTCGTACTATTTTTATTGACAGTCGCAACCAGACAAAATTAAACGTTGACTTTACATTCGTTTTTCTAGTTTCTTGTTTACTTTTTTATGCTCTTCTCTTTGAATTTAAAACTATCTCGAGTTTATCGCACTCCCTGACGAAAATGGCTCCGCCAAGAGCTCCGGAGGTTATTCCACGTCCACTTTGCTCCCACAGATATAACCTCGTTTAATTTCCATCTATTTCGATCGATGCAGAATAGTCTGCACAATCTCCTTAGAGAATAACGAAAAATCACACAAAATTTCTCGGTCGAGTTATTCTTCTGATATTATTATCTCTAATAATAATTGGAAAATCACCGATCCGGAGGGTTCCTCCGTAAAAAGCCGCGACTCATTAGCCCCGGTGATAGATACGTTCGAAACGTCAAAATGGACGGACATCGGGGCGCGAAAGTGATCGATTCGACGCAAAATGGCCGGTGCTTTCTTTAACACGAAGACGCCGCTGTGTCTCTGTTGCAGGCCGTGAACGATCTGGTCACGGAACTGGAGCAAGCGAACATCACATGCACGGCGACCATCACGTTCGCGGAGAACGATTACAAGGAGCAGCTGCGGACTTTGAAAGTAAGACGCGCTTAAACTCAAACTTCATTGACTTTTCCAACAAGTTTCGCGAGCAGATTTGCGGCCATCGTCGCGCGTCGCTGCGTGCGGGTGTCTTCTTCTTCGCCGCGTAGAATTTTACTTGCCAGTTTCACCTGCTCCCCCCCCCCCGTATTTTACGATACGCGAACGGAAAAAGAATTCCGCGCACGGAATCTCGCCCGTGAAAGATTAAACGCGCCGCGCTCGTGGACCAGGAATTAATATTTAACGTTGCAGGGAATAATTTATTAATATCTGCGAAATCTAAGCGTAGATTCTTCCCGCCGAAATGCAAGATCCAGAACGTCGTACGTACAGTTTGCAATTTTAATTCGCCCTATATTTGTAGTCGTCGTAATTGCCACGAATTCTGGTCCACCGTGCGGCGATTTCTAACCCCCATATATTTGTAACGTTCGTTGGAACTCCGCAATTACAGTTTTCTTTGCAACGATCGCGCGAACACATCGAAAGTTTAATTGCTTCGGAACTCGTTTAAAAAAAGAACCGAAAAGAACAACGGGAACGCAACAACCGCACGTTCGAGGGTGGAGAAATGATCGGGAAAGGGGAGTAGCTGATACGTGAACGCGTTAGCTTCCGGGCCGTTCTAACGTCGATGCAAACGTTTCGCGAAGAAGATGGCTGAAAAAGAACTCCGGCGTGCATTAGAGCGCATCAGGACGCGTCGAGCAAAGTGAATCGAATTAGCCCCCGTACTCGGTGGGTCTTTAATTACGGTTCATAACTAATTACACGTCGGGTCTAATATGATAAACCTGCATGAAAGACGCGACGCTTGGGACGCGCGCGAAAGAGAATGATTGCCGCGGGGGCTGAAGCGCACTTTTTATTCGGTTCCAGGAGTTGGACACGAGAATCATCATCGGGAGTTTCTCACCGCGGCTGGCGTCCCGTGTTTTCTGCGAGGTGAGCCAGCGAAACTAAGTTACACGAACTCGCAGACTGCATTACGAGCGATCGCTAGTGTTTCGCGATCGCAATAACGTTCTTTCAAATGTTTTAATCGCTCGTCGAACTATTACCATATAAAAAATATCACTAAAATCTTAGAAACGTGGTCCAAATTGATCCACTTTAAAATTTATTGCGTGAGAAATGGCAACGAAATTAAAATTTATTTCACGATTTATATATTCCATACCGTTTGCATTGTCCTTTCCTTTCTTGCAATTATGCTCCGTCTTACTGATGAGTCAACCAACAAAACGACTTCACCGGGAAGCGTCCTTTGCAATTAAAAATACTTCTTTTAAATTTTCTTAGAAAGAGGACGCGAACACCGATCGCTACGTACTTTTCATTTATTATGTGAAGCGTGGCGGCTATGACCCAAATTTACTTCTATCGTTATCTTTCTTATCATGTGACCCTATAACTCCCGCTTCCGACACTGTATTTTCTTATTTCTCTGCAGATGATTTTTCACGCCCACGATATATCGTAACATTATTTTATTAATGCATTTTAATAATAAGTAACGGATATATACTTGCTGTAATAGCAGCCATATATCGTGAGACACCCTGTACATTATACACGCGTCTACATAAATTAATACATACGCCTATGCGTTTAGTTAATACGCTTATACGCGTGGCAAGTCTATAGTGACATCGTTAAGTGATCCAAATTTGAATATTGACCCAGTTGGCAGGGGATGAAATAAACTTTGTAATATATTAAATTCTCATAAGACATTTTTGAACAGCTACAAAGGAAATATAGCACAGCAAATAAATGAAATTACATATAAACTAAATAATAAAATAATATACGTATATGGACTCGAGAAGAAATAAACAGCATTTCCAACCGTAATGGAGAAACTCGTTGATCGTAAAGTGCAATGTGGAAATTAAATTTATTGTACAAGTCTCTATATTAACTTTTTATTCACCATAATATATATATTTTTTGTGTGTATGTTCGTCGTATATTCTTTTGCGATTTTTAACATTTATAATTCAGTACTATCTCTTAGTTTCTGCTCGAAGAATTTCTTCCCGAGAGAACTAAATCCCAATGGCCAAAACGTTAGAAGATCTTGTATAATAAATTTAATCTCTACACAGTGGATTGCCCTTTACGACCAACCAGCTTTCCATTTTGGTTCAATCCGCTTGATACGCGGAGTAACAATTCCGATGTTAATTTAACGAACAGTATTTAACTCGAAAGGCTTTTTCTGCCTTCGTGTAAGGCAATCGTGAAGCCTCTTGACTTGTAAGTTAATGATACATTCTAGGAATTCCCTTTCGAACGTTTTCAGACGGAAAACGAAGAAAGATTAACCTCTGTATCGTAACTTTCCTATGAGAAGACTTTCATTCATTTCAGACTGTCATTTGCGTTCCATTAAAAATTCTACTTCATTTTATTTGGAAAAAAATAAAAACTCCCGAGGGAACACGATCATTAACATTGACGCGTGACAATGTGCAGCGTGCAATTTCAGAGACAGGTTTTTGCAATTCTAAAACGTAATAACGAGTCGATTCCTTTTATATTTATTGTCAACGTACGGTCTTATTTGTTCTCTCGTTGATCGAACAAAAGACAGATCTCTTTCGGGGGTGCAACGCGCGGAAACATCGATTCCGATTAAAATGCATCGTGCAAACAGGAATGTAAGCAGATAAGGTTCAGAGCGTTCATTATGCGTGATCGTTTTATGCAAATTTCACGCTGGATCCATTTGAAACTTTAATCTTTTAATGGATGTTTGCCAAAAAGGGCCAAAAGGTGTTCCCCAACAGTGTACCATATAATTTTTCATTTTGAGAACCGGGTCAAAGTTCGCGAACTTAATTTTTGTAAATTCCTACGCTTTATTCGTCAACTGTTTAGTATCAACGTCACTGCTGAGTGCATGCGACTGTGATATCTTTGTTTGCATGAAATGTAATCCGTACCATTTAGAGAAACGGAATTTTGTCACCGGAATGTACCAAAGAGTTTCCCGAGTTTCTCTGTGCACCTTTTCCCAGCAGTTCAGTACATCAGCAATTCCCTTCAAATTGCAGGAAAATAAAACAGCCGACGTTCCACACCCGGTATATTGTACTTTTACGAGCGTTCGTCCGTGCACCGACGACAGGTGAATTACGAATTTTTAAAGACGCTCGTAAAATCGCCCGTTTCCTCGAGAAATACGCCGCCTGTCGTTAGCACCGTGACGTTAAAACGGCAGAAATTATTTTCAATTTTCGGAGGGAAAAGGTCTTGCGACGGGCGCGTCTAGCGGAGCATGATTCTTTATCGATCGAAAATCGATCACGTCCCAACGCTCGATCGCCATTTTTCTGTTTCCCCTGCCCAGCAAATCCCTATGTACAGGGTGTCGGATTTTTTGACACCATTATTTCACGCGCAGAGCTTACAAAAATAGTGTATCAAGATAAGCAGATATAATAAAATGGGGTGATGGTATTAGTTCAGAGAGTTATACGCGCGTCTTAGTTTGCATTTTGAAAGCTGGATCAGCCGTGACACGGGAAACGTTTGGTAACAGCGTGGATGCACTTAACGTCGGAAAGCTTCCGTCAACGTCGTTGGCTGAACACCCGGAAACTAAATTACTCGATGTCAGTGGCGGGACCCGATGGCCAGTCGAAAATTGGCCACAAAATGGAACAGTTGCGGCGCGTGATGAATCCATGAAGCCCGCAGCTTCTTCGAAATCCTATCGACCCCGAGGTCTCGCGCCTCTAATTTAGTCTAGTATTACTTGCACGGGGCACAGACTCGTTCCCGGCTATTCAAACGAATATATAAGCAAGTAATCTTATTATCAGAATTCAATAGCTAGCGCAATATACCCCTCGAATAATTGTACAGAATCAACGGTGAAATACTTATTATCCTTACAATCATTCCCAGGGGAAAGAATACAATTAATTGGTTCGCGAGACACTCGACGAGGAAACGAGGAAAATTCCTTTTCAACGATACGTATAAAATGTCGCGGCGAACGTGATTACAAACTAATTATGCTACGATCTTCTTCTTTTCTTCGGTAAAGTTTGTTCCGATGAGTTTCGATTTTGTTGACAGAATTGGTATAATTTAGAAATTTAAAAGGAACATTGATCCATCTTATTGAAAATAAATTCTGCAAAAAACGGAATGTATCAAGTATGTTGCTTGTCAGCAGAGTTGCAACGAATAAGGACACATTCCCGCCACCGTATATCACGGTTCGTTTCCTGATTGCCACCCCCCCGAAATCTGAAAATTTTCCAACGAGATTTATCCGCGCTTTTCCCGTAATATCCTGACGAGAAAACTTCCCGGTCAGGTCAAACGTTAAGTCGAACCATGAAAAACACGACGGGGGTAAAAATGCAAATTTTCCACCGTATGGACAGTTTTTATATTTCTTTTTCTTCCTAAACTTCTCAACCACTTCGTTAGAACCTTATTAAGAGAAAAATTGCAAATTTTTTTGGTAGCCTGGTAACGCGCTGGGTAAACGGGCCAGTAATCAGGATTAATCCAGTAAATGACTCGTATTTTTGGTCGAATATTAAACTCCAATTATAAAAATTTTTCTTCCCCTTCGCTCAAATTGACGAGGTTTACGCTTTATTTATTGACACTTTCGTCGATCGCTTTTAAAATTGTAAATAATAAATCTCAGAAATTAAAATTTTAATCGATTAAAACTCTAGATGAAAGGAGAGACAGCAGAATCGCTGGAGAAAATGAAAAATTAATTGAAACGAATGCTGGGATTGCAATGAGGAATGGCAAAGTAACACACACAACTATGATAAAGCGTGTTCCGCTATGTTGCAATGATTCTACCTCGTAAACACCTATCAACGTTTGAATATCAGCCTTGGATCGCAAAAAAAAGTACTATCCAAATTATTGTCTTCAAGTTCTCAGATATTACTAAATGAAAATAGTCTCCGGATTATTATTACCTAAGAATAACGGTGGAAAAATGATCAAGAGGTGTACGAAATAATAAATTCCGTAAGATGGTAGGTTTATGCCTGCGTTCTCCATTTTCGCGTTCCGCGAGATGGACAGCCTCGGTCTCCATGAAGCGACACGTGGGCGCTATTCAACGCGCGACCCAGTTTTTTAACTTCGCTAGCGAGCAAAGCGCCGGAAGACAATGAGATGTAACCGCGTGCGAGGCGATTTCCCGATACTCGGTCGACAACCAGTTTCCCAAAGAATTTCGAAACTTTCAAACGGCGACGCCGAACAGACAGACGACGCAATAAATTTCGCGAGGCTCCGTCGGTGGAAATTAACTCCGGCAAGAACGCAGTTAATTACAGTTAATTACGCCGACGGAGTTCCGAGGGAGACGCGAAAAAATGAAATTCACTCGCGGGAAAACATGGATGAAAACTGTAACCTATTGAAGCAGCGACTGCGACGTGTACGAGGATTTTTTTGTTCGAGTGTTTGGAAGACATTCGATAGGATGATGGCACGATAACAGACTTCCGTTGATCGTGACGCGAAGGAAATTGATTACCAGAGACCCGCATTATAAGTTTTTTACCAGTTAACGTCCGCCATTCGTGGCTCCGCAAGAACGTTGTTGAACATCCTGACTGACTAATGATTCCGCGATGATGCTCGAGTAATTCGACATAGAGTGGAATAACAAATTTTGATGGAATCTCAGCGAATGAGACAACGTTTTCGATTGTTCTTCGGTTGGGGGAAACTATAATCCTTGATATAGAAAATAATACTATTTTTATATTTGAATAATTATGATTTCTCTAATCGAGGTAGCATATGTTAAAATAAGTAATAGCACGCTATCTTTCATAGTAAGCTTCGTTTTCGAGCCCTCGTCCGACCATTATTCACTATTTCTACTTGCGTTTAAGAACACCAGCGGAGACACGGTGCTATCCGGCCCCCGTCGATCTTCGTATTCTCTGACTAATTAGACCAAGTTACAATAATTAATATCACACCGCCGTCAACAGTGCAAACTTCGGCCGACATAGAAATGGTAAGTAATCGCCAGACGCGTTAGGCAAGTCGTACACACGTGTTAGGAACGTCGCATTACGGAGGCGGAATTAATTCATGCCAAGACAAGAACAATTTACAAAATTACATCGAGAAATACGCGCAGAAAAATATTCGTCAAACAGTTTCATTAATTTTCGTTGCGTTATCGCGGAGACAAAATTAACAATCGCAAACGTGTCGACGATCGCTGAAACGTATAATGAATTCAAACATCGACGCTCAGAAATATTTAATACCTTGTTAAGAGCTGTTTCGTAAACCCATATTGTTATTTTAAAGCAAATAATACCGTTCCATAACAGATGTATACGAACCGAAGTGGAAATAACGAGCAATGGTCAGACGGTGTGATCGAAACGTGCTGTATCGCTTTCCCTGGATGTTAAAATGGAATTCGGAGTATTCGATCTTGCAGAATGTAAACGTTTTCGCTCGAAATTTATGTACTTAAAAAATTAGAATCCCCGGCAGGAATTTTAAATAAATGAACAGACGGTGCAAGTGGAAATTTCGTAAATTTCAGGGTAGATTCTCGATCGGGCGTAGATCGATTTCACTCGCCATCCGCGCGTCCTCGACTGGCTTACATATTTTAGATAGACATCGCGAAGGGTCCGTGAGAGACTCGTCGTTATTTCTCATTATAGCTAGCATTCGTCGTTCGAAGGAAGATCGTCGTAAATATCCCTGGTATGACAACGCGTTCGATCTTCTGGACCCGGGGCGTTCCATTCCGTGGATCTTTTCCACAGTAGCGTCGGGACGACAAACGCGACCCCATTAACTTTCTCCGTTGGCAAATGCACTTGACGATCGATCGCGCGTATCGCGACGCGTCGGGAATGTGAACGACGCGGCATTAATTTTCCTCGGTGTATACGAGACGGGGAGACGTTTTATAGAAATACAAAAATAGAGGGTTCCGTAATGAACTCGCCCACTCTCTTGGAGAGATAAAAGACTTATCCGACTAACCCATATATTCGAGGGAACGTACAAGCAGCGAAGCATCCGGCGAAAGCCAATTCTAAAGCTCGCCTTATCTGTTTTTTCCCCGTGGTTCTCCCAACGCGCCATCTTGGATCTCGCGTTTAATCGGTGATTTTTAACCATTCCGTATGCTTTCTGTCCGCAATTAGGCGTGGAAGCTGGGCATGCACGGGGGCGACTATGCGTGGATCTTGCCAGGCGACATGATCGACCTGTCGGGAATGACGGGCAATTGGTGGCACTCGGAACCCGAGGAATGCACACGGTCGCAGCTGTCGCAAACTTTGGATGGCTTGATCATCGTCCAGAGCTACGGATCCGCCTTGGGAAACGAGATTAGCTCGTCGGGCCTGGTAAGCGTCTTTCCAATCCTCGATTGTTCCGTAGAAATTTGTCGGAGTATAATTTTTCAAATTTACGCAGACGTAAGCGTACGAAACCAGGGCGAAAGGGTGAGAGGCTCAACGTATAAATTTGGAAACCTAATCCGTCACGTGTGCACATGAATTTTACGTTGCACACGCTCCACGTGATGCTATTATATTTATCACGTGTGATGCATGTGCACGCGTCTTAATGCACGGGGCACATTCATGGTCTCGACTTAACCGTTTCGCTGTGAAGAGCCTTGATTGTGCATTGTTCGATACCAAATTAAAATTACTGTAAATTAAATAGAAATAGAAATATATTATTTTATTTTATTTAACATTCAGAGCTTCCCGGCGGGCCTAGCGAGTAAATACGCGAAAATTCAATTAGTTGGAGAGTATACAAACCGAGTGTCGGGGCTTTGTCTTTGGATGGTGGCCTGGTTTTTTTCATTTCTTCTCCAACGCGTGCGTCGCGTATTCGTTAACAACGCCGTGGACGGACGCGCGAACCTTTTGTCGTGTCCATTAAAGGCGCCAAGGAAACGGCACGGTAGAACGAAAGCGTGATAATAGGTACGAGCTTCCCCGTATCGAACGTTACCATGCTCGAGCAATCGAGCTAATGACGAACTCACGTGTCGCTAATTACGTTTCGCCAGAAGAACCCCGTGTCTCGATGAAATTCGAGCTGAACCTCCCTCGATATTGGTTACATTTCCCCGAGACCTCAACGCCCCAAATTTTACTTCGCGTACACATCGATTGCAGAAAGGAAATTATATACAATCTATAATAATTTAGGGATTTTATAATTCTTAGAGAAAAGGAATCACCGTTTTCGCCTTTCATGGATCCGGGTCTCTGCACGCGTCGCGAGTTCTTTTTTACATTTTCGGCCCTTTTAAGCAACATCATGAATAATTCTAGACTCGTTCGAATATGCTGAATATTTACGCGAGTACGTGGAAAAATAGAATTCGCGGCCTCGCAAGCTTTCGCGGTGCCTGAACTGAAGAGAAAGGGACGCGTGTCGATGTATGTCGGTCGCCCTGTTTGCATATTCCGCGAAACGATGATATTTTCCTCGTAGACCGGCTTGAATTTTCTGTTGCACGGAAGATAATCTCCACGACGCCATGTCGTGAAATTTCGATTCGGAGAGCGTGACATTTCGTTTCGCGTTTCCAGCGAAATCGAGACAGCGAGACCATCCTCGAACAGTAAACGCATAGCAGCTTGCAACTTTTTTGAATATTCCTCGCGAGTTAAAACATTTCGAACAGTAAATTTAATCATACGTATAGTCCCAATTAATATTTCAATGATTACGAATATAAAAATTGTTAAACTGTTTGCGGAAGGATAAATTCAAAGCTTTTCGCTTCAGAAATTTCTTAGTTTGCTTTTCCAAATACGATTCCACAATAGACGTTGAGTCATCGTTTTTAAATAATTTTATTTGTCTTTTGACAATCACAGCCGTTTCTGTAGACTTCAGAGCTTACGCAGACGTAATCCAAGCGCAATGTTGTTCTTTGGCCGTCGACTTAGTCTCAGGTCCAACGAGTAAAGCTCTGAAGATCCATTACTCTTAGCGACGGACTCTCTCGTTCCTTTTTACATGCATTTTTCTTTTGCCTATCGGACACGAGCGTGTTTGAGTTCAAGATTCGATTCGCAGTTTGTTAACGCGACTGCGAGCTTCGTGTCGAGACCGCTAACTTCGCTTTCAAGAAATTTCGTATTCCCTTCACGCGTTCCCCATTTTGCATAATTGTCAGAAGCACCGAAAACCCTTGCTAAATCGAATATTCCATCGCCACGCGCGGGAATCGATGATTACATCGAATTAATCCCCAGTTTCCATGGTTGCAACGTCTTTTTATTTCGAAGCGATTAGGCGATCGTTTTCGCTTCTTACCCGAGCTTCGATCCCCCTATTATGTACCACGAGGACCAAATAAAGCGTTACAAGCCATTTTCTCGGAAACTAATCCAGACATCGACTCTATTTTCTCTTTTCAAATTACGTAGTTCGATCCAAATGAATTGTATTCGCTTAATCTTGACAAAATTAACGATAAAAAGTTCTTCAATCGACCTTTCATCCAGAAGCGTTTGTACAAATCGGTTATCGTTTTATGACAACAAAAAAAAATAGTATCAATGTTTCATCGTCACAAAGGTGGCACAACTCTTTAACCGGAAACACGATAAATCTGCAAAGCGGAATTTCCAGCGAAATCACCGATCCGCCTCGCTTGTATAATGCCAAACGAACTTTCGCCTGCGTTTAACGCACAATATCGCATCCGCAGTTCGTTCGCGATGTTCTACTGAAAGCGCGATACACAGACACACGCGCATAGGTTTAAATTTGTCGAACAAACACGGATCCCGTGCTCTTCGTTGCGTCGATCTAAACCGTTTAATTTGTTAATAACTACTGGTTCCGTCAAAGACATACTGTTGCCAGCTCGAACACAATAAAACGTATTTTTCGCTGGGATGAAGCTCGCGCTATCAAAGCGTGCTCGAGTTATTCCGGCAAATATGAAGCATCAAGCATTACACTTTGTTTCGTTTCATTTATTTAGAGACGGGGAATCCTATCAAAAGCAATTCTGACGTTTCTTAGCCCCGTAAGTAAAATCAGATTCATCATATTTCTTAATAACGTGTCTTCTGCGTAGACGAGCAGCAAATTCAAAACGGAATTGGCCAAGAGGGGTGTGACGCATTCGAAATTCGCCGCGCAGACCTACGACGCTGTGTGGGCCATGGCCCTGGCCCTCGAAAGGGCCGAAATCATTCTGAACGAGGAGAATACGAGCATGACGGAGTACACGCACGCGAGGAAGGACATCGCGACGGAATTATTGGAACAGCTGAAGCTTTTGCGTTTTGTTGGAGTCTCGGTGAGTGTGGGGCAGAAAAATAGACCGAATTTAAGGAAATTTTATTCGCGAACAAAAACATGATGAGACAAAGGCAGAGTGAGTTAAAACGTGGGTCGAATCGCTAATGGGAATGGAACGCGAGCGAAAGTAATTCTGCGCGAAAGTGCAAAAGGTTGCCCGTAAATCCTTACACGGCTATGGAACTTCCTGGCAACTTGCAAATAATACACGTACACGGATGAAACAGAGACAGTGAAATCCGTGGACGGTCTCTCTCCTCCAGCATTCAGCAACCCTCATCAATCATTTACGAAAGCAATAATGGTTGGTCTTGTACTTTCTAAACTCTGCGTGCAGGAAAATGTACGCCAACGTCGAAAACTACGTAGTTCGCGAACACGAAATTCATTATCCGTGGAACAACAATTTTAGGTGTGTTCGCTTCTCGAAGTTCCACGATTGATTCGCAAAATAATTTCCATCCGTTTACGCAGTTTGTTCTTTTTTCTCGAGACTTGGAACGACAAAAATATTCTTTACAGCGTGACTAATTGATTCGTTTCAGGGACCAGTTTCGTTCGATGGCGCCGATCGAGTGGGCATCACGGCGTTCTATCAGATGCACGGTGAGTAAACGTTCTAATTCGCGAAAAACACACGAGCACCGATCCGACAGAGCAACGCGGAATGGGAAACGCGTAAGAAGCCACGCATGAAAGGACAAATCGTCGACTGCAAAGCGATGACAATTGCGCGCCTCTAACGATGCAACACACCGTGTGCACTTGCATCCCCAGCTAACTGACACGTGTAAACGAGTGGATGAGCCCATTTACCAGATTCCCATTGTCGAATACCAGGCCAACGATATGATTTCACGCCGCCGCGATAACGTTTCTCGCAATGAAAGCCTCCGAATAAAAAAGAATTGCCTCACGCTCGCTGGTCGCCCCCGCGATTTTTGTATTAATATCGGGCATAAACATTTAATCGACGAAATAACTCGAGCAATGAAAACACATAGAATTTTATTATATATATTTAGCCAATGGACGTCATCGTTATTTCGCCCGTAACGTAAAGTTGCTAGTAAACTTGACGACATTTTTTCAGCCGAGAGTGCTTAATCAAGATGGCGCCTCTGATTCTACGCGAGAAGAATGGCGTTGCCGCGTCGATCGGCGAAATTCACGCGTCGTTAACCCTCGAACGCGGCACTCTAATTCCTCGTCGTCGTCCGGAGAAAGGGTCGTAAAGTTAATTTAAAAGCGTATCGCGCGACCGTATCTTTTTCTGGCGTGGATACATCCTCCGCGAGCCACGGAACAAATTTCAAACGAAATGGCGCGACGCGGCATAAAGTGCCGCGCAAACAGTCCGAGTGCTCATTGAGCACGCCACTCGTAGCTTTGCTTCGACGCCCCAGTTTAGTGTTTTTTTCATAACTGGAACGGGGAAGAAAAGTCGGAGAATGGCGACGCGCGACCGGAAAAATGACGAAAGCGATCGAGCAACTTCTTCAGCGAAATTACGTGGATATTTCCTCCGAGTAGAGATTTTGAAAATTTGTGTTTCAAATTTTAGAGGTATCGTTTCCTTGCATTAACCTTGTCGCCAAATATAAATTGTTTAGAATCACAGTGGTGGAGAAGTGCACCCTTAGCGCTGAACCGAGTATAAATAAATTACTTTATGACAAAAAAGATGAAACATGTACAGAGTAGTACATGTACAGTGTGGATGACATTCCGTTCCGCGAGCTGAATATGAAATGCAACGGATGGGAGGGTGGTTTAAAATATTTAAACAAACCTGTTCAAGAGAAGCTCCATAATGTACTACGTGAAATAAATAATCTAAAAGAAAAATGTATCCTGCGAAGAAGTACTTTATCACGATCAACTTCCTACTAACGAAGTAGAAGACTGTACGAGGCATGTGTTTAAACCCAGACCATAAATCATGGCATTTGCCTCGACTTCATTACAAAATCGACTGTTTATTATGATTTATCTATGAGCTAGAGGAGCGACTGGGATAAAATCCAGAAAGCAATTTTACTTCATAAACAATTCGTATGAAGAAACCCTACGAGCATCCTTCAACTTAGACAAGCAGTTGCGTGTATCAAAAAGCAAAAGCAGAAGATAAACTGAAAATTTAAAGAGATGGTACTTTCTAGAGGATTTTCTTGTACAGTGCCACGAAACTGGAATTCATTGGAACTTTATATTAATGGTCTCGAAATAATAACGAAAGTCTGCACGTGGCCTTTGAATGGTTGAAACGGTATTCATTGCGTCCCCTGTTTTCAATAATGGTTCCGAGGGTGTCTTGCACTTCGATTCTCTTTATTCCAATTTCCAATGAAACGTCGCCGAGTATTATAGCAACTTGACATTCGCGGTTAGAAATTCATCCTGACTCAGCATAGTTCTGCCATACACAATGCGTTGTCCCGAGATTGTCCAAACATGAGACAATTACACCAGCCTCGCACTTAACCCGCCATGAATTCGGTATTGTGTTTACGATGGAGGGCGAGTGTAATTAACGCTGTAACAAGAAATAGAGCACGGGGGACAGTCGTCGAACAATATCGCGCGAAACGAGTTATGACGAGACGGAACGTGACCGTCCGCAAATATCCCCCGTCCCTGTCGTTACAATTAATTTCCATCGCGAAAAGAAAATATTGATACGCTCGGACAGATGTGTCCCATCGATCGACGCGGGAAAAGTTAAGCCTCGTTCTGGAACGATGTTACTGTTATTCCATCAAACCATTCCAAAAAACCCATTTTCGTGGCATTGCAACGTCGATGGCCCAAGTTTAAAAGTTTCCAACGCATCCTGACGGACGTAATTACCAGCCAAGAGCTGTTATAAACAGAATACTTAGCAACAATTGCGTCGAGGGCGTTAAAAACGGCGAACGCAGATGCGTGGTTACGCGGCCTCAAAGTCGCGCGGAGTTATAGAGCGTTAGGCAAGTTTAACGATAAATTAATTACCAGGCCGCGATTCCGTATCAACCTCGAAGGTTTCTCGCGAACTTGGAAGGTACTAACGTGGGAGCCAGACTCGAAAGAGCCACAAGGACTCTCGATGACGCTCGAATGTATGGCTTTCTGTGTGACTGCCGCGGTGAGGACCACGAAACCGCTCGAAAGCACGAAACGAGATCGACGCGAGCTTCGTGCGAACACGACCGAAGGTGTTTGCCATTCTACCCGGCCGGATGTTGCTAAGAAGTCGATGAATAATTAATGAAAGGGGACCCTGAGGAATCGACGGCGAAAGGGAGAAAAACCGAAGATGGAGAACAGGGGAGCCTGGAAATTATTACGCCCCAGACCCTATTAATCGTTATTCCGGCGAATAAGTATCGTGCTACACGGAGTAGAAGGCTCGATGAATGTTCATGTACTCCGAAGTTGGACCAAGTTAAGTCTTGAAGAGAAATTTTATGGCTGAATGATGCGGGTCTTCAAAATTCATGTCGATTATCCGCCATTTGGAACAGTGGTTTCTCGAGTCAATTCATAATTAGAATGCAATCAAGAGCGTATCCTACGTAGCGTGATAAATTCTGCCAATATTTCTTTTCTTTTTTTTTTCGCGACTCCTCCAGAGCCCATCATGGCGCGTGTCGAGCGTCCAGAAGCCGGAAGTCCTCCGGCTAACGACGCCAGCGCATAATTTGCGCGGCCTCGAAACACCGGCCTCCGAGAACGAACGTGTACGGTTCTTTGTGAAATCAAGCTTCTTTTCAGCCGCGTGACCTCGATGCATCGATGTCAACGACACCCGGCCGGGTGTTTCGTCCAGAAATTATTCCGTCTCTTCGCCGGGCGTTGAATACTTTTAATTCGCGCGCAATGGGACGGACGATATCCCGATCGTCCGTTATCCGGGTACGCTAGCGACGATCGCATTCGCGTTCACGGGTCATTGTCGTTTCACTATGATCGAAAATCAATCTGCCGGAAAGTGGCCGCGCTTTCGCGATCCGTGCCGTGAAATTGAGACCGAGACTCATTACTCCTCCCCCGTGCTTCGTCCCGTTCCGCCACTCTACTCATTCTCGCGATCGATGCTCCTTTTTTCCCCACTTTTCTTTCCACGGACACTGTTGGAAAGAGTTCCTACCGACGTAGAAGATTGTTCGGATCTCTGGCGTCGATAGAAAACGTTTCCGTGTTCTTTGGTCTCTGATTACACCGATGCTTGGAACGTTAAGTGGACGAGAGCGCCTAAAAATCGACTCGAAAACGCAGTTATCAGAAGCAAACGTTTCGTAGTATTAATGGACCTGCTCGGGAATTTTATGCACTTTATTGTGCGGAATTCAGAGGGGAATGTGGAAACACAAGCCGAAACGGTACGGTTTTTTTTCAGTTTTTCCGCTTTATGTTCGAAATTGTACAGAATTTTTCGACTGGGAAAAATGAGGTTCCGGAGAACTTTTTACTCGTTTTAAATTTTAAATGTTAAACCTTCGACCGAGAATTCTTTTCGAATATAATATTTTCGATTTGTCGGGTCAAGATTGATCGGAATATTCGATTTTAGCGGAACCTGGAAAGCAATGGCAAACTTTGGCCCCGTTGGCGAATGTTTAGTAATACAAGTTGTTGAATCGAGCCGCAACGTTGAAACAAAGCATGCAAACCCTTTCCACTTTAAGCAAGTTCGATGAGAAAAGAAGTTTCCCGGCCGAATTCACGGCGAGTTGCCTCCAAAGGAATCAAAAGAAAATTGGTAAAACGTAGAGCCTCGTGCCGAGGAACGCGATTCTCTCTCCATAGAGTTCGAAAACAAGGTAAACGAAGGGAAACGGTTCCTCTTAGAGAAATTGTTATAAGGATTTCGGCGAACTATAGCCATGGTTAATCCGCTAAGGATCGTCTCTACTCCTACAAAATTACGTTTTGCTCGGGAGTATACTCGGTCGGACGATTCTAGGAGTTTGCTCGGTATACGCAGGAGAGTACTAATCCGCTAAAGATCCTCTTTTCTTGTACATCACTTTTCACTCTAGGTCTTACGTCCGACTTCTTGCTCCTCTTTTTACGCAAGTTTCTCTTGGTTTCCCGCGGTCCCCGGAGACTATGCCCCTGTTACCTTGTTAGAAACTCGGATGGTTGTCCTTTCTTGAATTATTGAAACCAACGTGTTCGACCGTTTCAATACTGCGCGATTAAAATTTTCGAAACACTCAATTTGATGCAAAATAAAAATTAAAGTCACATCCACTTGTGCATTTCGAAAATTACAGCTTGTATTACCGCTTCTGATTGATTCTGATGATTGTTTAGAGAGAGGGGTAGTCGAGTGGTTGAAAGGGAGCGCGAGATTTCTTTCTTAACGCGAAATATTTTCACGAGATTCGAAAATTAGCGAACGTTCCCTCCTGTTAGGGCGCAGCCTCCACTCTTGGGATTTTCACGTAATTTTGATGGCCAGACGACCGTTCGCGGGCGTAACAGCTCGTCGTTCGGCTCGTTAACCTTGCACGAACCTCGAAGAAGCAGCTCCTTTTTCTGGCTCGCGTTTCGTGCATCGATTTCAGATAAAGTCAACGAACTGGCACGAATTTCCGCCAGCGATAGGTAACACCGTTCACAAAGAACCCTCGACGGTACGGACAAATTGGATACCATCAACTGCTTGCTCCTTTACCTCCGGTTTCCGTTACCTCTGTTCTCTGTTTCGTTCCGCCACCTTTTTGTTCTCGTTTCTTTCTTTTTTTTTTATTTATTCCAGTTTACCACCACCGGGGCCGTTCTTTCATCCATCTAACCGGTCGACAGTGGAGGGTCCTACGGCTGTAATCCATCAAATCCTGGAGCGGATAACAGTCACATCGGCGCGGATCTCGGATTTAACTTTCGAGCATAATCTCGGCGACGGGAAAAAGAACGGAAAAGCGCGGCTTCCCGTTGATCATTTCTTTTCGCGCGCGACGAGTCCAGCGCAAAGAGCAATTTTCCTCGATCAATCGCGTTTCAGTAAAGGTCTTTCTTCTTTCCTTCGGTAGAGGACGAAATTCTCCCGCGAGGATCGTTCGGAATGGTTACAAAGAGCTCGATACAATGGATTAACGAAAGCATCGGATTTTTACTTTCTGAGACTCGTTCGCGAAGCGTCGCTTTAAAGAGTCGCGCCCCGGCGCTCGATTCCAGACGAAAATAATCCGATTCGCGAAAGTGGTTCCGTCGAAGTAAATTATATCTGCGTCGCTGCCACTATCCGTCAAGCTCGGAAACGGGAACAGGGGCTCGTTTAAAGATTCACGAGGAACGGAGTTATATCGGCGTTTTTCGCGAATGCAAACTTTGAAAAACGATCGGTCGACCTCCATTCTTGCTTTTAGCGCTCGGAAATAGCCTCGCGTCGCTATTCGACAACCGAAGATAGAATGAAATGAATATGTATTATTATCATCCGTCCGTCGTCATTACGTTGATGAGAAAAAATCCCGATAACGTCTCGTCCCGCGAAACAGCGGAAGACGACGACCGTAATGGAACTTCCTGAAACCGAGCAGCGGACGCGCCTTTTGGCTCCGCGCTCTCCAAACTTCGCTTTGCCGTCCGAAACATTTTTTACGCGCGTTTCAAGGTACCTTAAAAGCATCACGATCGAATAAGACTCGTGGAAAACATTACAGAAAAGTTATTCGTACGATCATTTAAAATCGCAACGTTTCGATAAAATATCCGTACCGTCGAGGAAATGTTTTTAAATCGAAGAAATTGAAAATGGCGCGCGGGGGTTCCAGGAGGGCCCAGGCTCGAAGAACGCCGAGTCGGACAAATTTCTACTAGGAGAAAATTAAAAAAAAAAAGAGAGATCGATTTTCTGATGCGGAATTACCAGACTACCCCCTTAAATGCGCTCTCGCAGAGACGCGAACGGGATTTCTATGGCCTCGATTCGTTCCCTCTTTACGAGACCGGTGTATATTCGACTTTATCGGCGACGTCGAGCAAATGGGTGAGGCACAGAACGGGGAAAAAACCCGTATTTTATAGGAGAACGGATTTCCAGAGGATGCAAGAGGAATCGCGGATAGGAATTAAAGCCTCGGCCTGATCAGTCCTTTCATCGGGGTCTCTTCGTACGGGACGAGAACTTATTATTGCCGTGGATTCATTTCCGTCGAATCCGCGACACGGGCCGAGCAAAGGGACGGGATCGTAATAAGTACGCTTTTGATCGCGTCGTTTTTCCCGCGATTAAGATCCCAAATGGCGGAATTTGTATCCGCGGGAACAATGTGACGCGGGGAAGGGGATTAAAATCTCTTCCGGGTCGAGATACAGCGGGCGTAACCATCACGATGAAAGGCGCAATCTAGACGGAACGGCTCGGTCCTTAACCGATTATTTAAGTTATCAAGTAGCGGCTCGCTAGCGCTGAGGCGAGAAAGGTCTTAAAGTTTTCCAATTACAGGCCACGTCGCCAGCAGGATAGCGATTTTCAGCCCGGAAGATGGAAAGCTGATAATGAATTGTCCAAAATGCGCGCCGACCAGATGGCCCGACGGACATCCCCCCGCGGCACAAAGGGTTGTTCGGTACGTATTACACCGAATCTATCCCCTGTCGTCCGATCGATCCCTCCAAACACCATTATCGCGGTCGCGCGGGCTAATTATATCGATTTTTATCCTAGTCTACCACCAATCACGAATTCCATTCTCGTCGATCCGCCAACCGTGTTTACACGAAACGCGATTAATAGAATTGTCCGTCCCATTTTTGGACAATCCATCATATTTAATTTTCAAATAGCAAATTCTTACGATCGAAATAAGAGAAACTTTGTAGAGCAAGTAGAAATGTCGAGTATTGGTCAGACGCGCCGAATTCGATACGATCGTACGCAAAAATCTAACAGCTATTATACCACGCTTATTTTTTAAATCAAATTCTACCGTTTGACTCCATCTTTTCATCGTTGCGTAACAATAATTGAACGGACGAGCGATAAAAATTGCACGACGCGGAAATTAAAAGCGCGCTGGGATTGCGCTGCGCAAGGATCGCGTTTGCATCGTTCTGCGCTCGGCCTTAATCCGAAATCATACACTCGCGCGTCCCGAGGATCGATAATCGCGCCTTACGAATTTGATGAAACAATTAATAACAAACAAACGATTCGTGCGAACGCGAGCGCGTCGCTGGAAACCACGTAATCATTTATGACCGCCGCGATCGGCCGTCCACGGTAATAAACGTATTACTCGCGAGGTAAATGGCGGGACGACGTGTTCCGGGGTACGTCGAAACCAGCAACTATTCGACGACGTTAACAGCGATTTCGCACGATCGCGTTAAATTTGATCGCCTTGGTAATTCGAGGAAAACGGTTGTAAAGGTACCCTTTATTAAATGGCGTCTTTACGATACGGTGAACGGCGTGGGCGAACCGATACCGTACGATAAAAAAGTATATTCCTAGTCACGGAGCTGACTGGCTTCGACGATCTTTGGTAAAGACATTATTGGGGCTGTTTGTCACGAGACAGGTTTCCTCGTAAATTGAAACTACTATAAAACTCTTGACCAATTAAAAGAATTGAGTCGCGCTATTTTATACATCGCGACACTTTCCCAGCAACAAATTCAAAAAAACAGTATCGAATAAAATTTTAATGGAAAATCAAAGTTCTACGGTGGCGGTATAATGCCGGCGTCGAAATAAAGGAAGCTGTCGAACGGGAACGGGATTAAAATTTCTCGTAAAATTCCGCGATACGTTTAAAGCATTGTTTCAGTATTTCCACTAAAAAATTCGACCCGAACTTGTGGAGTGGCGTATATTTTCGATTTATCCCGCGGCCATAATCCCTCGAAGCGCTTGTTACAGCCGCCATTACGCGTTTACTGCCGTTCGGGGTCATCGGGGGCGTACTAAAAGGATCGTTCTTCTTGTGCACAGGTTAAGAGTGGTGACTGTAGCACCTGCGGCCTTCCTGGCCGTTACCTGCCTCGCCAGCGTCGGCGTCACCCTGGCGCTCGCGTTCTTGGCGTTCAATTTGCACTTTCGCAGACACAAGTAAGTCCCAGTAATCGTTACTTCCCGAGGGAAAAACCGTGTTGCAACGCGTGGACGAATCGTACAGAATTGTTTCGTTTCACGCGCGCGACAGGGGCATAAAACTCTCGAGCCCCAGGCTGAATAATATGGCCGCTGTTGGCTGTGGTCTCGTCTATGGTGCTGTCATCCTTCTGGGTCTGGATCACGCCACCCTTCCTGACAGCGACGATTATTATCCTGCAGTGTGCACGGTGAGCATTAATTTTCCACTCGCGCTGACCCCCGCGACAAGATCACTCTGACTGACATTGGGGCTGAGATTGTTCGAATAATTTAATAATAATATGACAGGGCTCTGTCTCGACGGAGTTGTTCGGTTGTCACTTTGAAAATAATTTCACGTTCAAATTTTCGGTGTCCCTCTTTGGCAGGAATAGGGTTGGTTAATATTTTCATTTCTCTTCGTGTATCGTTGTTTGAATTATAGTTTGTTTGTTCGTTGTGTCGTTTCAGGCGAGAGTGTATCTGTTGTCGGCTGGCTTTTCCTTGGCTTTCGGCTCGATGTTCACCAAGACGTATCGCGTGCATCGGATTTTCACCAGAAGCAGAAGCGGCGTGGTCAAGAATAAGGTATACAATACCATCTGGCGAAGATTGTCGATAGAAAATTATTTTTTATATCCTTCTTTATTGCTCGAACGATGTTCCAAGCGTCCTTTGAATTAACTTCACGATTCCATTTCGTTACTTTCGATCCATTACTGATCTTCCTATACAGTAGTTCCTTCTGTTTCTTGCAGTTGCTTCAAGATACCCAACTGATAAGCTTAATTTGCGCCCTTCTACTGATAGACGGTCTCGTGGTGACCCTGTGGGTGACGTTCGACCCCATGCAGCGTCACCTGCGAAACTTAACCTTGGAGATTAGCCCGCAGGACAGGGGCGTCGTCTATCAAACTCAGGTACTCGACGACAAGAAACGTTTGTTTCTCTCGATACTAATTTCTGCCTCTTAAAAAGGGGTAGTTTCGCCCTATGAAGGGTGAATGATATCTTATGGGAGACTAGAGTAGGCTGGAGTTGTAAACATTTAATAAAAAACCGTGGCTAATTAATGTATGCCTTTGATTATCCACGCAGGTGGAGGTGTGTCGTTCTCAGCACACGAACAGCTGGCTGGGCGCCCTTTACGTGTACAAAGGCTTGCTGCTGATCGTCGGGGTCTACATGGCGTGGGAAACGAGGTGAAAATACTTGGACGATTGCTTTTTAACGAACCGGGCTCCTAAAATTCGTTACAACGCCGGAACATTTCAATTGGAAAGGCGGAGTCGAAACGGGTCGGAGTTTAATGAGGGATGCCATTAGGGCGTTCATTAGCAGAAAGTGTTTCCTCATTTTTTGTCCAAGAACCGTTGATATATCGATCGCGATACGTATCGAGAGAAATTTAAAAAAAGAATAAGAAGACTTTGATTCTCGAACTATCGAGTAATACTTTTTTATAGAAATATCGAACGGTCTGATCAAAATTATATTGCCTTCGAAAGGAGGACTCGAGACTAAGAACCCTCGTCCACTATCGCCAATTACTGAGATTTTCAAGTATGTGCACGTGTAATTCCAGGCACGTAAAAATACCGGCGTTGAACGATTCGCAGTACATCGGTATGAGCGTTTATTTCGTGGTGATCACATCGGGGATCGTGGTGGTGTTGGCTAATTTGATGTCGGATCGCGCGACCCTGGCCTTCGTCACGATAACCGCCCTGATCTTGGCTTCGACGACCGCGACGCTGGCGTTGCTGTTCCTCCCCCAGCTGGCGAACATCCTGGCCGGGGAGAGGGCTGATCCTGTCGTGCAAAGCCTCGGTTTGAAGATCGAGTGCAACACAAGGAGATTTGTGACGGACGATAGAACGTAAGTAAACGCCCCGTTGCTATCGCTGTTTCCCCGATAAGCGATACGGGATAGAAAGCAAACGGGACAAGAGGGTAACAATGGCGTCGCGGCGACGATAAAGGTCTTTCGTCAGCGGAGTTAATCGGTGGATCGACCTCCAGACGGATACCGGTACAATGGGATCGTAAGAATCGCGAAATCTCGAATCTCGGAGTTTAGTGCCGAATTTACGCCACGTTTCCGACTAACAATGTCGATTTTGTCAAGGGACACCTTTCAACATTTTAGCTTGATACTATTTCCACCGAGTCATATCGAAAGCAACGATTACGTCCACGGTTACTTGCCCCCAAATGCAAAGGATTTATTCGGGTGGAAAAACTGATCGCGCTAAAACGCGACATTTTACGTTTCAAATCGGATTTCCTTTCCGAATGGAAAGTTTGGTAGAACGAGACGCGGAGTTACATTAAAATATGCAGATCGGCGGGATTCGAGAGTTTCTTCTAGCATCTACGCTGATCGAGCAACTAACACCCGACGACCCAGCGAATCTTTAGTTTATGTAACGATTAACGAGCTAGTTTGAATTTTCGAATTTCTATGCTAATTTTCGGGTTTGTTCGAGGCTTTGCTTATAAAGCGAATTTTAATCGCGGGTGATAACGAATTGTGTCGCACTGGGACAAAACGTAATCGAAATAATTCCCACGATATGCCGAGGCTCGAAATCAAGTTCTTTTAAATATGTAATTTTTAGACGCGCGGTTTAGAAATTAAAATATAATTGGCACGCGAGAGAATGACCACCACTGGGAACGCGAGACTCGATAAAAAAGCGAGATACGCAATTTTGGCTTACGACGGGGGGCGTATTTCACTCGCTAACAGTTTGAACCGCGATCGTTCGAATACTTTCGCGACTATATGCCCCATCGGATTTCGTTTCCCGAGCCCATCAGGTTTACCTCCGCTGTAACGGGGAATCGATTCGTTTATAAACCGGGTTACCAGATATCGTTTATCATATTTTATTCCACTCGCCTTCGACTTTCGCTGAATTTCCTATAAAATCCCCGGGCCACTGAAAGTTTATTTAATTTGCCGCCAAAGCTTTGTTCGACGTAAAGTTCAGGAACGAGATCGTATTACGAACGTCGTTCCGGGTTTCTGGCGAAAGCCAGCCAGGAATTAATTTCCCCGTCGAAGACAGTGGCAACGAGCCGCGTAAAACTCGGTTCCAACGTTCAAAGAACACTCGAACCACTTCCGCGAAAAGTTTAACGCGCTACGAGCTGCGTCCCATCTTCCAAAACAATCTTGCAACACGATAATCGAAATAATAGCTCCTAGGAAATTATCAACTACCACTTCAGCGATTACCAATGTTAAACGAATAGTGATTTACTGTCCTTTCACGCATCGTTTCGCTTCAAAAGCATACCTGGTGACTTCTGCACGATATTCTGCAGCCCAATAATATTAGCGATTTTGCACGTAAATTCACTTATAGTATTAACCTGCGGAGGAACAGTTCCATATTGCCACCGAGTAAATTGATCGAAGGAATCTATTTATTGCTCCACCATTGATTTCCAATTTGTCCGGATTTAATTCCCTTAGCGCTTCTCCGGCAAACTCGAATCGTGGCTAACGTTAAAAAACAACAAATATTTGTGTTTTTAAATGCGACAATCAAGCACTATTTCCTAATCCTTCTGCTATTAATGAATATTCTATCGATCCCCTCTCACCCACTGCTCCTTCCCAGCTTCATCGATACGTAAACTTTCTGCACCCTCCGCTAATCCTCCCTCCGCTACTTTTGAACCGTTTTCTCTTGGAAACCATCCAAATATACTTTTAATCTTACGGCCCCGTAATGTTGTTTCTTTATCTTCAATATTCCCAACGATTCTTCTTCTTTTTACAATGTTAGCTTTGAATCCGAGACGTAATCCTGTTCTGCTCTCCTCGTTATCTGTACTCGACCCTCCTTATCTTTAACTTCTCTGTTTAATCCGGTATTTTCTTCGCAGCTTGAAAACATTCTACAGTACATACTGGCCCTAAAACACCGGAAGACTCTCTGTCTTAAACCCCTTCGTCTTATCTCCCGAGACTCCTTTCGTCCCCGAAGTTCTGGAAAGCTCTAAACCTTGCAACTATGAAGCTTTGTTAGTTCCACCGACGTTGCGTCAGTTTCCCAATCTGGTTTTCGTAGTGGTTACAGTTCTGCTACAGCGTTATTGCACATTTCCGATACGGATCCTTCGTTAAGACGCGAAGGGCACAACTCCTTGACGTGGAAGTAATTCTTTTTAGATAAAATATGCTTGAAATATCCCACGAAGAAAATTTTATCGCGCTTCGATTATCTGTTTGTTTTTCTATACGCCAAAATCGGAATTATTATTCACGATACCGTGGTCCGCGCTTTTGACGTCGCTAAACTTCACAAAAGCCTTTGACACAATTGATGGCAACCTGTTGATGGCTAAGTTGTATAACTCTTTGAGCGCCGTAACTTTTCCTCGATCCCATTTTTCTTATCGCTCGGTCGTAGCGTCGACTAGTTCCGCGACAGTTCGAAACTCATTGAAACGCGTTATCGTCGTATCGAGACGCATTAATTTAAATAAAAGCACCGACGGCGAACACTTCCGAGCCCCCTTCGTCCCCTGGCGCGAATAAAAGAATATTGTCTCTTCCGGTTGATGGTCGTTTGGGGGGAAGAAACTAGTAAACAGTATTCGGTGGACTCGCGTTGTCGATGTCCCCTTGCATAAATTTCTATCTCTGTTACGTTCTCGTAATGGCGGACGGGGCTCGTTGAGTAAAACTGAAATAAACGAAATTTCACGCACGGACAGCGAGCTTCAGTACCGCGTGGAGGTGCAGAACCGCGTGTACCGTCGTGAAATGGCGCAGCTGGAGCTGGAATTGGCCAGATTGGAGAAACAATTGGCACAGGAGCCCGTCGAACCATCGCACGCTTCGTCGAGCGCATCGATCCCGCAACGCAATCCTAGCATCGGGGGCGGTCTGCCTTTGTTATTGCTCAGTGTACTTCCGCCGGTCATCCCAAGGGCTAGTTGGCCATCCGCGGACCCATCCGGTGAGTAGTGACATTCTTCGTCACGCGTTCCACGGGAGCAAGAGAGACCAGAATGGCGAAGGAACCGCGAACGACGTCGAGAAGTAAAAAGAATTGTTTCGACCAGCGAAACAAAAATAAACAAATGACTGAATGTTGGAACAAAGGATCGGGGAATCGTGCTCTCGAGGATCGGTGTCGAGGACAAGAGCGAAAGAACCTTCATGCTAGAAGTCACTTTGTCACTCGTAGGGTCGATCCCCGTTCGTGTGAAAGAACCCTTACACTCGATGCTGGGTCCATTAGAGCAGAATTTCCCAAAGTATGGTTCGCTGGTCGCACGAAAAGACAATTTTAACCTACTTTTACGGGATTCCTTCTGAGCTATTTAATATTTAAGAGATTGGCGCATCTAACCGTACGTGAATAGAATTTAGAACGGATCCAACGTGGCTGACGATTCCTTTCTGATCTTTCTCTCTCCCGATGATAGTTGGAGATTCGTTGTGCAAATAAATCTACGCAGCGCCGTTTTCGCGAATTCTACTCCCCGGTTCGACGATATCGGGACGAATATTCCACTTTAAAACCGATAAAGAAGAAATAGGTCGTTTACGGGCGACGTATGCACGCCTCGGCGTCGGATGAAACGGCGGAACGTAAACGAGATGTTTGTCGCAAAGAACTGGATCGAGCACAAAGAAAGAATGTTAGAGGAATCGTTGTAACGAAATGTTTCGTTTGTAAATTCGAAAGAAGAAACTCTTCTTCTTGCGCAGAATGGCGATAAAACGTCGTGACCTGCATGGTCGTGATTCTAAAAAATCTAACTTGCAAGAAAAACCGTGTAGAATCTGTACTTTTCTTTAGTAGTAAAACATATTCTTATATTCTCTCTAAAAGTATTCCACAGAAGGAAATAGAATCGTAGAATTATTTAATCGTGGAAAGAGTTTATTTCAAACAGAATGAAACGTTTCCCCCCGAAATTGCCTGTGTTTTGTTAATCTCGAAAAGTACGACGACGGGTATAGCGTAAATTTGCACGATGAATGAACCTTTTCTGCCAAGGAGAGAAAGATGGAACGATACATAATTAAATGTTCTTCTCGCTTCGTCATCCCTCGGTTGTTCAGGTATTCGAGAAAGGTGACAGAATTCCGTTTATTGCACGTACAATGGCTTGAACAATTCTGATGTTTACACGCTTGTCTCCGTATTTAAAGAGACTGTTCAAATAATAGAGGATATTAGAGTAGGACGAGACCGAACGTTTTTCGCGGGAGTTTTTCAAATCGTTTTATGACAACTCGAATCTTTCCTTGGTGATTTTTCTGCTTAAGGGGCGCGCATTGTTTTTGGACGGTGCATGGAAATCGAGCTTCGAGCCAAGCTTTATGCATCACGCGCGTATACACGGTGTCTAACGTAAGCATTCGCACACAACGATATTTATTATCGAACAGGTGTAACTTTATTTTCTCCTGCTTAACTCGAATACGAGATAACAAGTTTGTAAGGTTCGTAAAATTGCACCGTGCCAATGCTTATTTCAGTAGTTTCGAGACCAAGAGTCAGCAAACTGTGCAAAAATGGTTAATCGAATCACCCTCCTGGGTACTATACACGTTGTGTTATATCAATTCATAAATGGCATCAAATATTGCCCCTCGCGTGGTGCATGTTCGATCGCATATATCAAACGTGAATACGATTCGTATCTATTCACCGTGTGATCCTTTCCATACAATTACGTGGACGATTCCGTCGATATTCCCAGTCGATCCACGCAGGCGTAAAATTTTTTTATTAATTAGCTAATGAAGTTTGCCGACCCTTGATCCCAAAGTAGTCTGTCATTGGTGATCGTAGTAATCAAAGTTCGCGAACTGGTTCCATTTGTAAAGCTTTATCGGCGGCACGACAAACAGCCCCGACGCGTGGAAAATTTATCGGCTGCTACTTGAGATCGCGGATGAAACAGTTGACGCGAATCGCTCTAATTGTCACCGTGACGTCGGACCGTATTACCAGCCTGCAAGAGCTTGCGAACACAGTTCGTGCATTCCTGACATATTAATTGCCATTCGAGACACTGGGCTGCACACGTATTCCCCCCGAGCCACCAATTCCCAGCCCCTTGACAACTTTGGACAAGTCCACGACAGGGGTGTGTGCACGCACACACTCGACTTTTGCACGACAAATTGCACGTTTCGCCCCGACGCTTCGGAATGCTACGACGAAAGCCATAAATGGAATCAATGGACAAGCTCGACCGGTCACCGGCGATCGAGGACGCGCCTGTCGCGACGAAAGATTCACAGATCAGTCACGATGCTCGCAAATTATTTTTTTCGATTGAATTTCGACATTGTCGGAATAGAAATTCTTATTTTCCGAGCGTTTCAAGGTTATTGAATAATCAGATTACGCTTTGCCCGACTCTGGCCACCGAGAGCCTCGCGAGGGTCGACTAATGTGTCTGACCTAGCAGGATTTATTGTACTTGGAAATTCCCTCCAGGACTGATCTTTCAATCTCACGTGTATAGAGGGTGGTAGGAAAAGAATTCAGGCTCGCGGGGCAGACAGCATTCCTAAAGTCCCGAGAAAGGTTGACAAATAATACTATTTTCTCTGTCTCCTCTCACTTTCACTGTTTCAAAAATCCCTGAATCTATACGACTTAAAAATCATCCAAGAAGAGTGTCGCCAAACTTTTAATCCAGAAAAAAAAACATGAAGTGCTAGCTGCCCTTGAGAGTTCTGAACCCTTTTCTCTAAACGCTGCATTTGGAGTTCTCGATCGTCCACGCAGAGTACGATGGTTCCCGTTTAGAAACACACGTGAAAGTTACGCTCCCACGAGAAAGATGCGCAACGCTCCTCCTTCCTCTTCCGCGGTTCACGTACCGCCTGCTTTCGCTTCTGCGTTGCGCTTCGATTCGCCGTGTATCGGCGCGAATGTCAGTAAATCGTTACCCGCCGATCGCGGGTGCAACGCTTCGCGAAAAACCATAACGCGACCGAACTTGCTCGCATTAGGGATGCGTCGAGGTACCGTAGCGTTTAGCAGCCAACCGGACCTGGAGCCGAACGGACCCAGGAGGAGCCTGGCGGACATTTACAAGCTCCATCAACGACGGGAAACGGAAGGACCGAACCGTTTGGGAGTTTTTCAGAGACTTTTCGGCCTCTTTGGCAGTCGTCCCGCCAGCAGGAAAACGTCGACAGCCTCGTTCTCGGGTAAGCAACAACCCTCCAGGGGCTGGTCCTTTCAGAAACTATTTACTTTAAAAACTGATCCATATACGAGAGGACTTCTAGGAAGATAAGTGGTAAAATCACAGTTTTGGTCTCGTCAAAGATCGTACGATTTTCAAAGAAAATTGAGGCTTTCGAGGTGAAATAAGATGAGAATAACGAGGCTATCGAGGTGATCGGTTTCTGACGAGTCACCCTGTACAATGTACGACTTAAGAGCGAGTTTCATCGTAATCCCGCAGGAGTAGCGTCGGCACTGCGGGTTCACATGGGCTACATCGCTGGTCTGGTGCCAGGCACGAAAGCAGCGTCTACCTGTCAGGTTAACGCTCAAGGCACTCGTCCGCCTCATCCCCGGTGTGGTTCCGGACCAATAATTAGTATTACTAGCGAAGAAGATCGCAGATTAAGCCTGGGGCTGCGACGTAAAGAGAGCAGCGAGCCCAGAGTCAATTTCAGCCTACCGCCCAGTGAGTACTCCGACTGATCGCTTTCCAGTCACTTATCTATCTTCCTCTACGCTTTATTCGATAGCTACGTCTCTTATTTCGGAGCATAATTATCGAAATTAGTCTCACTTATATTATTCGCGATTCTAACCCAATGGGTGCATTTCATATTTGTGAGACACCTGTATATTATAACTAGACTGCGGATCTTCATGCAAATTCATATTTTTGTTAATAAAATTATTGAAATTGGAGCTTTGTTGAGGGTTGTCTCAACCCCTAGATATAATAATTCGTACCTTATTTTAGGTATTTCTTATATTTTTGCATATTGACTGAATTCTGTACTTTTTTGAACATTAAAATTTCCCATAAATGCATAAACATCCGCAGTCTAATTATAATCAGTAGTAATTGTTCGATATAGTAGACACGTACACCGTTTCATGTTTATAAGATCTGTTACAGAATTGAAGCTTGTTCAGAAATGAACGAAACCTTGGTTGCAATAACTTCTGGTACGATTAAACACATTGTTTGGCATACTGTTTATTGGATTATTAGGAATCTCTAAATTGCTTGTGCAATCGGAGTAACAGTTTTGTTTTCGATCATGATCGAATACCGATTATTACGGTAAACCTGGCGGACCATGATTCCCCAAAGGTCCTCGATGGGGTTCAGATCGGGCGAACACACCGCCCAATCCATTACTGTAACATGATTTTACCGAAACCATTCAAGGATACTTGCTTTGCGCCCGACACCCACATCATTGGCGTTTTCGAACGCTAGGTTTAAGATCAGAAAAATTAAGACGAAAATATCTTCTAACATCAAACAAATAAATTCGAAACTATTTATGCAATGTTGATATTTCGTCTACGGTTGCAAATCTTAAGAAACGAAGCAACCAAGAATCTAGATGTTGAAGAAAGTATTATACTTTCTAATAGAACGTTATTGCAACGCGACTTTCATTAATTTCTAATTTGTTTCACAAAACAACCTTTCGAACAAACATTTCTGCAACTTTTACGCGTTTCGGTTCGGTAAATTAAAAAATTCATGTTTCATTTGTACACTCACCGCAAGGTCTTGATTCCCGATGTAATTACACGGAACACGATTCTGTAATTTTATCCGCACCGAAGTGGATACTCTTGTCAGCCATCTTTACGCGTCATAATTTCGCCTCTCTCGGTCGCCGTAAGACATTTTCCACGCGACCTAGTTAAATTACAATAAAATAATAATAAAATGCAAGTACAACGCCACGGGTATATCAATATCACAAGAAAAATAATAAATCTGTCACGACTTTTGCACCGTATCAAAAAGAATTGAAGTCTTAGTAACAAAGTAAAGTTAGTGAAAATTATAAATATTAAAATACACCACATAAAGCATATATGTATAAATCCAAACAGTTGTCGATTAAATTCTACTTCGACTACACTAATTGTTAAAATAACTATCTGAAAAATGAGCTACAACTCTGTCTATAGCGATTCAGGAATAACAGAAGGTCCAACAAAACCACGAGGTGTGTAAATTAAGTAATGAGACTGATTTTGTAAAATTTTGATATTCGAATAGAATTACAATTCAATATTGTCTCTCTTAAAATAACTTTGGGAAGCAGTGGTGGAATTCGGATAATGGTATAGCCTTCAGGTGGTCACTGGTCCCAAAATTACGTTCCTGGAGGTGATTTTTCAAAAAGTCACGAGGACTCGAGTCAGGCGAATAAAGAGGCTGAGGAGCCACAGGAATGTTTTCACTGGCCAAAAACTCATTTATTGAAATTGCTGTATGTTCTTGATGTTTGGCCTCACACGCATGACCCTTTTTCGAAGTTATTCTAGAACCTCTCGGTGAAAGTGTTGACTGACCGTTTGGTCTTGAGGCACAAACTGTTTGTGGACGATTACCCTGGCAAATCAACAATTTTGACTCATCTTTAGAACGTACTAAAAAGAACTGTTTCACGAAAACAATTGCTACGACCAACAAAATGACTCTGCATCCAAACTTGTATCGAAAACGTATCACACGTTCGCCTACCGTCTCCCCAAATCATTACTTAATTTACACACGTCGTAGGTGTACGAATGCCCCGAAACGTTTACCGGAAACGGTTCTGTTGCAGAGGCGAGCACCAGCCAAACGTCCTCGCGGGAGAAAATTCGCGGTTCGCCGCGATTCCCCCATCGTATAGTACCGGCGAACAGTTTGAACGCCATCGCGCCGGGTTCCTCGATCTCGCAGTCCCATCGATGGCACTCGATGGAGGACGCGAGGAAAACGAAGGTGGCACAACTGGCGCGGGGCTCGTCGTGCAGCCCCAGCTGCGACGTGTGGGCCACCCGCGAGGTCGGGATCCCGTTGAGCGAGCTGGGTGACGGTAACCGGGCCAAGAAGCCGCCGGAATCGTTGGTTTTGCCCTCCACGACCGAGTCGGACCCTCCTCGCGACCACTCGAGGAAAAGCTCCGCGGAGAACGACGCCCAGGGAACCCTCAGTCCGGCGGAATCCGAGTTGAAAACCGCGCGATCGACGTCCTCCTCGTCGTCCACGTCGACCAACGCCAGGACATTCGCCGGCACGAACGACCATTCGTCCTCCGAATCGTCGACCGGTATCCCGCGATCGGACACAAGTACAAATTTCGTTCAAGAACCGGAGGACCCGTCGACGAATCCGGAAGTTGAGGATGAGACGGAGGATCGTGCGAACGCGTAAAGCGAAACTACGAATTATCGCGGGGGAGACGCTTCTGAAATACGGCGGTCAACAGTCGAAATCGATCGCGCCGACCATTTTAGAATTACGATCTACAGAAATCAGGAATTCTGTTATCTTCCTATCACTAGCCTCCCGGATCTCTCGATTGTGATTTAAAGAATTTTATACGATAAATCGTTCGGTTTGCCAAAATGAAAAGCATTGGAATTAATATGCTTCGAGAATCTTATAATTCTAAAATCATCATGGCGGTCGATCTCGACTATATCTCTCTTTCTCCTATCTCTAAGACGAATGGCATAAAAGAGGGCACAGGCAAATTTCCAAAGAACACGACACCCGACTGTATAATCTTTACGTCTTTTCTCGGCGGGAAAGGATCGTGCAAGTCCTCTGTTCACGCGACAATCTTCCGTAAATCGTGTCCACGTGGTGCAGGATCAAGCTCAAATTCGTCCGCGCGTTAATTCGCCGCGGGTTCGATGAACATAATCGTTGTTTTAAATCCAATCGTGTGTGTTCCTTAGTAATTGTGCCAAAGACAAGAATCCAGGACCCGTAACAGTATACAGCTGATCGACTTTATGGATTATGGAGGGACCAAAGTACACCAAGTTCTTTTCGTTGACCCGAAATTTATTTTTAATCGACGACGAGAGCCCGTAAATGTTAATGGAGGCATCGTTTAACCGGCGAGCGTGGTCGTTCCCGACCGCACGTTTATCGTACGCTGCATAGTTTCCCAGAAGAAAATAAAAAACCGACACGCTAACGCCATCTGTCGGTGAACGCCGGTACTTTCGTTCTTTTCTTCTCGGAGCGTAACAATGCGATCTCGAAGTGGCGCGAAATCGTGGAATGCGAGCTGGGAGTACTCTTACAGGTCCAAACGTCAAAGTGTTCAGTGCCCTAAAACCCTTCCTTCAGTACCTGCACTCGGTGTAATTACAAAAACAAAAACAAAAAAAAAAAAATATTTCTTCGTAATACAGAACCATGGAAGACAAAGAGTAACGGTAATTATGAATGTCGGGGAATGTGTCGAGATGTACTGATATTTTGGATGGCGACGCGCGTAAAATTGCATATTACGTACACAGAATATGTAGACAGGTGCGAAAAAAAGCGCAAATGTTCCCTCGTTTCGTACCTCGAATATCTCTCGATGTGTCAATCATTGAACCGCTAATTACTAAGCAATAATGTTTGTCGGTGCAATTAAAGATGGTGTAATAAAGATAAATATATATTCTACGTGTTTGTGATAAACGATAATTCGCTCCTGCTCGGTCGGTACCTGCGCGAGGGTAAGTACGTAAATTGCACGTGAAAGTAAATCAGAATATTTTTATTTTTTTTTTCCTATCTTTAGGTACAACGATGCATACGTATCGGTAGAGTACAAAAAGTTTAAACAGTTTTAAAACGGAATAACTATTTACATAATCCTGCGAACGACAGGATATCGTGGATATGATGGACACAGTAAATACAGAGTATTTAAAAACGTTTCTAGGCTGCACACTTCGTAACAAAGATCAAGAACCATTAATTTAATCACCTGTATTGTAAAGTAACTCGGGTATTTTGGAATATACGCTAACGAAATAAACTATACATTTCCTTAACATTATTAAAACGTATGTACAAAAGGCGTTTACGTTTCATACGTTGAGTGCAAGAAATTAACATATTCGTTAAACCAGGTTGTCGATGAAAAGTTCGATTGGATTTCCGGGATACAAATGATTAATTCTATCCCCCCTACTTCAATAATACGAGACGACTTACGATTTCATTCTAGTTTCTGCTATAAAAGACAGAAATGAATCTTTAAAATCACAGATTTGCGGCTGTATTTAAAACTAGAAATCGCTATACATATTGAAGCCCACTATTTCACGTGCACGCGTGAAATTAAAATTGCGCGATTTCATCTCACGTGATACGTACACGAATACAGACGCTTTTTAACTACTGCTCCTTGTTTCACGTGATACGAATGCACGGTGAGACAGTATCGGTTTCCATTTCACGTGTATTTAATCCTTCGAAACATTGGGGTAAATTAAAATAGTATTTTACTATCGCCCCAATATATTTTAATTTTTGGACGAGACAATATATTACGAATATATTTTATTCGCCAAGAGTAATACCAAACGGCTCCTAACACGTGTTCTTGTGAACTATTTAAGAATTATTTCTGTTCTAATAATTCTATCTTGGAAACTAAAAGAGAGCAACAATTATTTTTAATATCATAACGATATGGAAAATTAGGAAGTACTTGCACAATTTTTTTCAACTAAAATTTGAAAATGGAGGCATTCGTTAAGAGAGGCGGACGAATTCTATTCGTAGAAAGAAATGTTTAAGTTATTTACATTTTTCTGGATTAAACATTTCCTTAACTGTTTTCTGTGAATTATTAAACGCCTCCCATTTTGTAAATCTCTGATTTATGCAATTTGACTTACATTGAAAGCTCCAGAGCCAATTAATCGCATGAGTCGAGGACTTGTATTAAATACTCGTGAAATAAGAGGTAGTACTGCCCCCTCCGTCCGTGTTGCATGAAACAAATATAGTATTGCTTCTTTTCTTGCAATCAAATCGAGACCGTCGAGACTTCAATTGGGTTTTTTAAGTCCACGTCTTCTGGCCGCTCGAATCGACGGTCACTAAAGAAACATAAACAATGATAAAGGTAATTTCTATTGCAAGTATCCCTAACGAAGATTGATGCAAGAAGCGAGGCAGTACCGTACCATCGTCTACCCGCGTTCGTTGCGATCAGTTTTACCAGAAATGGGCAAAAGTTTTCTCGAATAATATGTACACGTAGAGTTAAAACACCGAATGGAGATTTACTCAAAAAGTTTCGATCAAACAGCGATTCAGATATACTTTCTTCCTTTCCCGTGATCTATAATTTCAGATTATAATTTGTATTGCACAATTAATGGATGAGAAGTTGTTTATCCTTCGTTCGTTATTCGAAATTTTTATACCAGATAAGCGTTTTGCCCACCTTTGATTTTCGCAACTACACACGTATACTTTAACACTGTAATGACCATGTGAGGCGAACTGCATGCACCACAAGAGGTTTTCAAGGTTATGTTTATGCCCAAACTTATGATACTCGATTCCCGATGTTTTTATATCATAGTAATTTATTTTTGAATGATGGAAGTTAAATATTTTGTATATTCGAAGGGTGGTGTTTCCCTCAAAAAGCGTGTCTTCAAAATTTGTACTAATTTCTTTGTCAGTGTATAACGCAGTCTTTCTTTTTAATCGAAAAATCGCGATGTTAACTTCAGATGACCATTTTATTAGTAATCAATTTTTTCACGATCAACTAGGTATGAGAAAGACGAGATTTACTTTTGAATAGAGAGATACTTTCTTTAATAAACGAGAGATGAAATTACTCTTAGAAGATGTATTTGTAATTGACCAAAATTTTATAAATTTAATTGTTTATTAGAAAAAAATTTACAAACATTGGCCTGATTTTGTATTCTCCTAGGTGCGTACACACCTATAAGCCAGTAAATATGTGTTTAGATATTTGGATATCCAGGTCAGGGGAGCTTTATACTTCAGTTAAAAGGGAAAGTAGACCCTGACCCGGATACTCGAGTACTGGGATCTGATTTTCGAAACTGAATCGGATTATCCGTGTAGTAAAACATATAATTGCAACGCAATTACGAACAATATTAAAAGAAATACAAAACGTCCCATAAATCATAGGCAATCCTACATTTATGCAACAATTAAAAATTAAAGATATTCTGCGACAACTGTCGAGTGAAAAACAAAATTGAAAAAGCATAATTCGTCAATAAAATAACAAGATATGTCCATTTGGTTAATTACACAACCAAAAAGCCCATTGCGTATCGTCAGATCCTCGAAAACCATATGAAAACGGTTCGCCCCACGTGGCCATCCGTGCAAAGATTCACACGGCCGTCGGAAGATCTAATACGCGTACAGGATCATAGACTTTACTAAGTATGCACTATTTCCCGGTCGTCTCTGCCTCCTCCGACAGTCGTGCCGCCTCCATTAGCTATATGGTTGCCTGCAACGATAGACAAACGATGAGCATATCGACAAAAGAGATACCTAACTACTACGTTAGTGACAACCAAGACTTACGGTAATTTTCTCCAATATGGTTTCAGCGGGCTTGTCCTTTCGAACCGGGACGGGTTCGTTCGAACTCGATTTAACCGGCGAAGGTTGCTTCTCCTCGTCGATCTCGCTTTTCTTCTCGGGGCTCTTCAAAGCGTTTCGCGCTTCTATCCTCTTCCGATTGAGGAACGCCATCCCGTGGACTCTGAGGTGCTTGTCCACCGCGGCCTTGTCCTCGAAGACGGCCATGCACACGTGGCACTGGTTCGCCTCGATGGCCTTGCCGCCGACCTCGAAGTCGTCGATGCTCTCCGGGGCGTAGGAGGTGTTTTTGGACATGTAAGTGATGGGATCATCTATCCCGTGGAATGCTTTCAGGTGCATCTGTAGGCTGGGAGCGACCACGAAGTTGTCACCGCACTCCAGGCAGATCAGGTAACGGCCCCTGATCCGATGGTCCGTGGCGATGTGCTCCCTCAGGTCGGCCATGTCCGAGCACCGTCGGTCGCACTTCTTGCATCTGAACTTGCCCTCGCTGTCCTCGGCGGTCTCCTGCTTCACGCAGAGTCCAAGACCAGCGAAATTCCCATTCTTCCCTTCGGTGTACTTCTTTGGTGTCCATCGCCTCCTCCTCTTCGCGTTCGACGACCCATTGTCCGACTTGCGTTTCCTGTTGCCCAGCAAATCCTTGTAGCCGCCGTTTATAAACTCCGGCGACATTCGAAGCAGCCTCGACGTGACAATGGACAGCTTGCACTCGTGCGAGTGCTTCTTCTGGAAATGATCGCTCAGCACGGTCCAGGACGTGTTTATCAACTCGCCGCACAAATGACAGGAAAAATCAAGGACCGTCTCCTCCGAGTTGTTTGGACCGTTCAGAGCCAGCCGCTGAGGGAACTGGCGACTCAGTCTTTGGCTACGCGACGCCGCCAATCGTCCGCTCTTCGACGCCGGGCCGCTTTTCACGATCCGATTCGACTCGATGATGTGCTGGGGAATTCTGGCCAACGGCGGTGGCTTCGAGGTCACCGCGTGCTGAGGGCTCTTCTGTGTCTTCTGTGTTTCTGATTTTTCATCCCCGTCGTCCTTGGGAACCACCGGATCGACGGTCCGTTTGTCCGTGTCCACCTTGTTCGTGTCGATGCTCGACTCGTTACTAGGGTCCACCGTGTCTTTCGTCTTCGTCTTCGTCTTCGTCTTGGTCTTCGTTTTCGTCTTCGTCTTCGTCTTCGTCGCGTTCGCTGGCAATTTCTTCTTCCCTTTCGCCCCTTTGCTGTCAGTCTTCTTCGCGTACTTTTTCACGACCCCATTGCCGCCCTTCACGTCGGACGACGGTGGGTCCGCGATCGACCTGACCTCCAGTATCTTAGGCAAAGTTAAATAATCGTCAGCGTCTTGGGTGCCGCGCTCGAACACCTCGGACGTTATGGTCCTGGTGTTTATTATCTTAGGCATAACCGTTCCGTCGTCGCTGGGTGTCTCGTGCACGTTCACGAACTTGTTCCGATCCGTACCACCGTTTCGAGCGTTCGTCGCCTTATCTGTTGGCAGAACGCCCCACAGCACGTCGGCGCTCATGATCTCTTTCAGCCGCGACAAATGCTCGGCCTGCAAGTGGGACATGATCCGTTTCGCTTCCACGTTTACGAACATGCAGAACGGGCATTTGAACCATATCAGCCGTTGGACGACCATGTGCTTCTCCATGTGCGACATGTACTCCTCGCAACGGACCACGCAACGACCGAGTTTGCACAACACGAGCCTTATCGGGTGGTCTTCGGTCGCGTTCGGGTGTTTCTTGTCGTGGTGTTCCTTGTACACGGCGTACGACGGTAAAACGATGTTACATTTGTCGCACGCTACCCTGTTGTGACTGTGCATGATCGCGAAATGCCTGGCGATGGACTCCATGTCCTGGAAACCGTTTATCTCGCAAATCTTGCAACCGAGGATACGTTTCTTAAGCGTGTGGAAGCAACTGGTCCACGTGTGGATCTCCAACGCTTTGAACGCGGTGAATCTACGATAACAGTCGGGGCACAGGTATGGTTTCTCTTTGTCGTGGAACGTCTGATGAGCCACGAACCGCGTCGAGTTGCCCTGATAGCTGTTGCACTTCTGACAAACGTGTCTGTAACAAGAGCAATAAACATCGTTCTTCACGTGCTTCGAGAAACCTGGAACGTAACACTTGGGCTTCGTCTGTCTGTTGCAGGATTTGCAGAGGGATTTCTCGCCGTTGGTAGCCAATTCCGATTCCCATTCGTTCAACAGCGGATCGCTGTTGCGGCTCTCGTCGTCGACCGTGTTGTTGCATTTGTCGATGCAATGTTTCAACACGTGCCGCAAGATGTTAACGGCGTTCAAGTTCTCTTTGATCACGTTGTCGCCTACGAAATCCATTACGCTCAATATCTCGTCGTTGATTTGCTGCAAATGCTCGAATCGTTTCTTCAACTCCGAATATGTTAGATGAAAGAATTCATTCAGCATCTCCTGTTTGCATTTCGTGATCATCGTGGACGTGTCGACGATAGTGTAAATCGGCTTGTGATTGTAAAACGTTATATCCAGATACAAGTTCTCGTCTTCACCTTTACGGAACGATAAACTTTCGAACGTGTCGTTGCTGTTGTTTGCGTTACTTTTAAGGTCAGTGGACTTGGCGTTCGAATGGGAAGCGTCGATCTTCCGCGTACCCTTCACTGTTGACGAAGACTGTTTCGACTGAATGTCGCAACTGGAACTGCTCGACAATTCCGACGGTGATGGGGAAGGTGTCAAAGGGGTAACGTCGTTGTGCAGCAAGTTCACCCTTTCTGATGTTGGTATATTTTCTAATTCGGTGGAATTTAAAGGTATTAACGGCGGAATACTGTTCGTAGATTTTGATTGAACGGGTCCTTGCGCCTCTTTCGTAGCCACTGTTGTTACATCGGACGCTACCTTCAGATTTTGAGTTGGATTTGATGGTTTGATAATATACTTTCGCCCATTCTGGTATATGACTTTATTCGATAAAAGCGGTAATCTCGTTTTAGGCTGGGTAATTTGATTTTTCAAAATATCATTGTCCGAATCTTTAGTTTGCAAGGTTTTCATACCGTTCTCAAGACTTGCATCAGGTACTAATTGAACTACCTTTTTAGTTGATAATTCTTGCTTGCTACGAACAGTGATAGTATTTGAGTCTTGCCCTATAAAAACAATCTTCTTACTGTTCAGTATGTGAGGTGGCAACTGATTAATAATCGTGTTAATATCAATGTGTTTCGAGCTTTGAAACGTGACGATCTTCTGACCGGAATTTACAGTTAATGTATGTATATTTTGTTTCAGTTTATCTAACTTAGTTTTGCACGTGTCCGTTTTCTTTGCAACGGAGGAAGTACCAGATTCCGACTTGGCCAATGTATTTGCGTGCAATAAACTTCTCGGAACTGTTTTGCTAGCTTCCTTATCTGTGTTTACAATATTGCTTTCAGTAACTACCTTACTTGGTGGTGTTGCAGCCTTATTAGATTTATGCGCTGTGCCTCCGCATAATTGTTTATCGGTTTCACTCTGGTTAGAATCGTTTGTATCAACTTTTGGTGTGATCATGGTATTTCCGTATGACATAATTACATCGGATGAAATGGGATTTATACGTAGCGCGCTAATTTGTTTGGACTTATTACTCGTTAGATTAGCAGACTTAAGGACAGAAGAAAAATCTTGAACCGATCTTACAAAAACTGTTGTATGTTTTTTTACACTATTATTTACCGAAATCTCGGGTTCAAAATGCTTTGATGCGGGCCCACAATCCACGAAAGCAATATCATTTACTGTACAAGGATTGTCTTCATTTTCAATTATGCTTTCGTCGGAAATAGATGCTGCTGTATCTACAGATGGTGAACCTTTTCTCTTGTCAATTTCTGAAGAATCGATTTCGATATCGTTATGCGTACTGTTATTGACGGATGCAGGATCGAAAGAATTCAAAGTAGAAAATTTCTCTTCTATCGGTATATCTAACGGTTTAAAATGATGTCGGCCCTTATAACCTTTGATAACGTACATAACTTCATTGCTGCAATCTTTAGTTCCGTCAGCAGTTAATTGCCACCAATGGCTATCAATGTTTCTGTCTTTTAACCAATCCATTATATGAACCTTTGTCAAAAATGCTTGCTCCATAAAAGCTTCGCACGTCACGTCAACTTCGGGGTTCCAAATCATATTTGTTGGTAAAGGCATTAACATTAGATCGCCCATATGCACGTAGGTTACAGAGTGAACTTTCAAATGTGCAAAGAATTCGCACTGATTATAAAATATCCTAACTGCCCCAAATTTCTGACTTCTGTATAAACCTCTACTTCGTAAATATGCACGTTTACTACGTTCTATTTGCGAACATTCCGCACATAGTGAACTCTCGGCGGTGCTATACTCACAAACGGTCATAAAACAATACTGACACCAATATCCCAATATCCAACTTTTGCGTACAAGGTGATCATCCAAACTGCTTCGAAATCGAAAGCTAACACGGAAAAAGACTTCTGTATTAAGTATGTTTGAATCGAAAATTGTTCTTACATGCTGTGTAAATTACAGTATTGCCCACATAAGTGACCAAGTTCGGGACGGACGGGATCATTTATACGGGCATGGTTAACTTCTCAGAATTCAACGAAGATAAGAAAAGAGGATAAGTGCGAGTGAGATACAATAGCTGACACCGGAAACCATATACACAATATATCGATAACGATCGGCGTCGAGTTACGCTCGATAAGCTCGATGTTCGAAGCCGCTTGTCATCTAAGAATTGGTGGGTATAACCGCGGTCACTTATGTGGGCAAAAATCCGGTCATTTATGTGGGCACTACTGTATGTCATTCAATATACAAAAACAAATGCTAAGATGTAATGATTCAAATATTATAACTTGTAAATATATTGTTACACTTACCAGTCTCTGCACTGTGTACACATGTATAATGTGTCGTGTTCTGTAACATGTTCCTTCAAAGATGGGGGTGGTTCTTCTGGCACGTATGGCGGTGCCTTTAGAAAAACAGCATTTCTCAGTGCTGTGTAATATTTGACACCCCACCTAGTTTCAATTCTCCGATTTTTTCGTAGTCTTGGCATGAGATTCTATTTATTACATATCACAGTATCCTAGAGATACAATCCATGAGCATTGAATAGATACTTTGTAATTCACAAATAGAAATACACTTCTGATATAAACTGTGATTATATTACTGCAAGAGTATTTATAATAGTATGTTCAGAAACAGCGAAATACTATTACTTCTAACAATGCAGCAATAAGATGTCCTCTACAAGCATTTAACACTCTTTCATGACATACAATGAATATAGTACAATACTATGGAATCATATAGCACTGTGCAAGATTTATTCACGGTTATCTTAACAAGTCTCACTATTAATTATTTCTGCTATATATCCTTCTTGTATCACGCAATGTATCAACAGAAATCAAGACATTATTGTTAATCAGAAAACCACCATATTCAGCCATGATATGTTTTGCTGTTTGCACCTTGTTGGTAAAGCAGAGAACACGGTGCTGCCGTTGCGGCAAACGATCGAAGCAATATTAAGAGATCCAAAATTATGTATCCAAAAAGGATTAAACGTTTTGCAACTATTTACATAACATAATTTTCTATACCATCAATTAATGTTTGTTACCTTGTGTTACTACAATCATTGGTGAAAATTACAATATCTTCATAGGTGTTGCGTATAACCGTACTCTCTCAAAACATGATAGAAGAACTGTATCCAAACACCTTCCTCAATATGGAATCCTGTGAACATACATAAAAGTTATTAAATTTCATTAGATGAAACAATAAATATTGTTTTCTTACATACAAGATCACATTTTATGCTATCATGTTCAATTAAAATGTTTCTTTGAGCAAAACTTACAACACATTAGACATTGTGCCCTAATTTTTAATTACATCTTATTTACATTGCAAGTGTAATTGCATTTTCAAAATAATCACATTACTAAATTACTTTTGTAATTTCAATTAAATAACATGTACAATTATACATCTTGTGCAGATTACATTTTCTTTAATGAAGTGGGAAATACTTTGCTATATTCTCTATGTACATTATGACTTTTTTCCGATGTTAATGCAGTTATACTTGCAATATGCCTTAATGTCTTAGTTATTCTCTTTAGCACAAAATTAATATCTAATTAGAGATATATATAATATTATACAAAATATGATATTGTTCAAGTTATCAAAGAATCTTTTAAATAACGCATGAAACTTAAGAATCAAACTCTAAAGTGTTGAAGTAGTTGAAATAGCGAATCAAATGTTAAAAATAGTATACAAATCCATTAGTGATACAATACTAATTAAATAAATCTATAAACCAATAAGTTCCCTCAAAAAGGTAGCCTATACATCTATATATTAATTAATTATGGTTTCCTGTAACAAGGATTGTTTGATTTACAAAATCCTTTAATCATTAATATCAAATACCAGCTATTACTATGTCTACTAGATTAAACTCTGTTTTGAGTAATATACATTAGACTTACAAAAGTTTTCTGCACTTATGGATTTTTATATATCACTAGCAATTCATTGCATTCTATACTGTTACATTAAGATTATTCACAATACTATTACAAATCAGTATATTATCAAAATCTTTTACTTATACTGTTTTTTAAAGTATAATGTCTATTTGTTGCTTCTAACCTCTAGTCTATTTTCCATAGAGAGCGCTAGTTATATCTTTAAAGGTTGTATAGCATGCACAAAGAAAATTTACCCGCCACTTTGTATAATAACACAAAATATGATTAAATTATAACTACAACCGAAATATGGGTTTCAAATTAGATGCGTCTAATAAACAACGAGATAGATTTGCAGGTACATAAATTATTACCGTTACTATATTGTTTAAATATAATAGGAATGAATTTTACGAACCTTAAGATGGTATACTATCTTCTTTATAAATAATCAACCCTCAAATATATCAATAAACTTTTCGTTGGTCACTAGCGATCAAGTTAAAAACCATTGGAACATTTTATAAACATTTTAAGGAGAAAATCACTAACGCCGAATTTACCACCTCTCCTAGCACTTGATGACTGTGTGACATAGATGCACATAATCGTTGGGCCGTTGATTCACGGCCTACTCTACTAGAATAGGCTATGACCGAGTGCATTGTGGAACGCACAATAGTTAAGAACTAAAAGTGGTGATAAACTAGGACTGGTGACTTTCTCCTCAAAGTATTCAGATCAATTTAACTAGAACTTGACTGTTTATGCGCATGCTCATGCACTATCTATATACTTCGTATATAAAGGGTATATATATCAAATCGCTACGAAGAAAACTACGGTAACTGAAGGTAGGTTGCGCAATTGCGAAAGATGTCGTTTCATGAATTTAATTCACTCACTGGTCGTTTAAAACAATCCACGCAGCTTCAGTCTCTTAACCCACTAGTAAGTAGATATAAGTAAAGGCCATGCCAAATCCGTTGTAGAACTGAACATATGTCGTGCTAAGTATTTCAGTAAAATTGATATATACATACATTTTACCGAGTATACTTTTCTGTACTTTTCGTAATCGATCGTATTTTATTTTCGTGAAATGACTGTAATTTGTTCGTTAATATATTCCGTGAAAAATCTGAACGTACACCATTGAGCATATCATTTTTAAACAAGTATTTATATTTACAATGTTCTCCGCCCTACCATAGAAATTGTAGACAAATTTATAAGAAATGAAGTTATACATGCTTATATAATATCTAATATCGGAGAATGTAAATAATAGATATGTAATTTTTTTTCTAAATTTAAATTTATGTTACATTTTGTACAATAAATTGATTATCTATAATTAATTAGCGGTAGAAATGTTTTAACAGATTGATATTTGTATTACAGCCACCTCGTCCACTGCAAAGCTCAGAAATACCAGTCATGATTTACGATTCAATTAAAACTAAACCATTAAAGGTAGCAACTCCCACAGAGAATTATTCCACATTACCTCCAAGAATGGCAGCACTGTACAAGAAATATCAGGTACAAATACTTATATACTTATTATTAGTGGCATATTAATAGAGAAAAATCATGTAATAAAATTCTTTTACAGGCTGATATGACAAAACCTGTATATAGAATGGGTGGGAAAAAGGATAGAATATTGTATGGTATAAGTATTATAGGAGTTACAATTGGTTTTGTAATGAATATATATTATTTGAATAAGGGTGCAAAAAAATAGAGCTGTATAACATTCTTATGACAGATATATGTAGGATAATATTTATATATATGTTGTAACTGCAAGGAAGATCCTTATAAATAAATTATTAAATCTATTTGTATGTTGTATTTACGATTATTTCAGAAGTAAATGTAATTAAATTTTTATCTGTATTGATTGGTAGTGGCAACTGAAGTATTGATATATTATTTATGTATCATAATCAGAGAACTACAAATTACTAGTGATTATTGTTTCTCAAAAGATTTTGATTAACGTTAAATTTCAATATATAAAAGTCTTGATCTTTTACCATAATTAATAGAAAAACATATTCACTAAAGTTGGCATACGCCATACGCGTCTGTTGTTACTACCAACGTGAAAAAAAACAAACCGTTAACGTGCTGTGGGAGTGTTCCAAAATATATGAACAATTTTACAGTGAGTTATTATTAACAACTTTTTAGTTCACTGACATGTTGTTATTTTCATAGTATGTACTAATATTAATTGGACGTATAAATATTTAGTGACTTTAATGTGAATTAACTAGTGTTACGATAAGTCTATGGTGGTTTCTCACTATATAACTTGTTAATGTTACTATAGCAGTGTTGACAGGATTTTTGTATTGTGTACCATCCAAAGCAGAAAGTATTTTTATCAGTGAAAGTTTTGCAAAATGTTATTCCGATTTTGTAGATTATGTTACAACAGCGTTCACTCGTCATTTAGAAACTTTCCAAGACATTATGTAAATACATTCGCTATTTTTATTCTACTCTTTCCGGCATATCGTAACCTAACCTAATATAAATTTTAACTTAGGCGAGAGCTTTTGCTAAGAATCGACGGAAAGAAATAGAAATAAATGATGATGAAGCAACGAGTACGAAAGAAATGATACCGATAATAACGTGTAAAAGGAAAACCTACAATTTTTATAAGGGTCAAGTTTACTCGAAAAATGAGAGAGTAACATTAGCTAGCAAAGGATGGCGACACCGTGACTCTAGAGGCGATCATTTTTTCATACATCCTTTTGATAATGTATTTTGCCTTCTATTCCTCATCTATTGTTATGAAGTTTTCCTCGTAATTATAACTTTTCTTCTAGGAAAATGAGGAAGAAGTAGACAATCAATCTGGTTTTGAAACATTCGACGATTTTAATTTAATACCTTCCTTGTGTAGTCACTTGGAAAAATTAGATATAAAGAAACCTTTAGAAATTCAGCAGTCAGCGATACCAACAATTTTTAAAGGATATAATACGGTATTGGCAGCTGAAACAGGTTGTGGGAAAACATTAGCATATCTTTTACCAATGATTAACAGAGTTCTGCAATGGAAATTCATTATAGAAAGAGATCAGAATTGTCCACTAGGGTTGATTGTGACTCCAACTAGAGAATTAGCAGTACAAATTGCGGTTTGTAATAATAAATTTGGTTTTGTTTATTTACACGATAACAACATTTGAATAACATATTTTGTTTCGTTTAGTTAGAGTTAATTAGACTATCCAAACATCTTGATATTCAAACTAAATTGATCACTGGGGGAAAAACAAAGAAAATGATGATGAATCCTCCAGTTGAGCATGTGGATATTCTTGTTGGTAGCTTTGGAGTTATTAGTAAATTAACTACAGTTGGTGTTTATAATCTCACATTTGTTAGATATGTGGTCTTGGATGAAGCAGATGCCTTGTTCCATTATACATTTAAAGATAAACTCAAAGTTTTTATGAAAAGATTGCCTGTAAGTCAAAGCCTCTTTTGGTTTTGTACTAATTCATCAAAAAATATTTTAACATTTAATCTCGATCTATGTAGATTGGGTACCATCAAGAATTTGATGAGAATGGATTTCCTAAATCAGCTCAACTCATTTTAGCTTCGGCTACGGTTCCCTCGTACGTGGATGAAATTTTAGACAATATTGTGAATGTTAGTGGTATAATTTGAATTACGATTTTCTCCGAGATAAAAATACAAAAGAATGAAAATCTGTTACTTTATAGGTAGATTCACTAAAATATATAAAAACAGCAAAATTACACAAAATAATGGTCGAGCAGAAATTTGTGAGAGTGGGTAGCGATGACAAACCGCAAGAACTGTTGAAATATATAAAATCCAAAGTATCGAAGAATCAGCGTGTAATTGTATTTTGTAATACAAGTGGTACTTCCTATTGGCTCTATTTGTTCTTAAACGAATGTGGTATAAAGACTACAAATTTGAATGGCACTATGCCGTTATTCGAACGACGAGGGAAATACGGAGAATTTTTAAACGGTAAAGCTATGGTATTATCAACGACCAATGCGGGTTCTAGAGGTTTAGATACAGTGATGGTCAATCATGTGTTAAATTATGACTTTCCATTAGACACGGCTTCGTACATACACAGGTATATGAATTAAAATCATTAGCGGTGTAGTCTTTGCACGTGATACTGAAAATTCGATGCGTTTTACACAGATGCGGTAGAACCCTTAGAAAAGGTACTATAGGTCATTGCAGGGTGACGAATTTCATCTGCAAACCGTTAGAGATCTCTTTAGTTCAAAAAATTGAATATTCGGTTAGAAAAATGAAGCCTTTGCCCATGGTTAATTATGGAGTACCGGACATGGACGTAGACGACATGATGGAAGAGAAGGATGAACCTATGAAGGAGGAAATAATAGATAATGTAGAAAATGTGGAGAATATTCCATATTAAAACGTAAATTTTTGTTATACGATGCAAATAAATATATTCGATTATCCATGAGAGTTTATTGCTTTTGTAATCTTTACATTCGTTTCTTTTCTAGTCGCTTTATCAGTTTAACTCGTAGAAAGTTACTCGTACGAAAAAAATCTCCGATGAAGCCTTAGCGATGACCCTCGATAGGATCAAAGAATCGACCGAATGTCGTTGACCTTAAGTCTAGTTGATTTCGCTTAAGGTTTAGATTTTCTATTTCATTAATGAATTTAGTTTAGAAACGAGCGTTGCAATTTCGATTAAACGCTAGGTTTATTTTATTTGACAAAGAACGAGTCGATTTATCGCTTGAATTCTAGAATTCGGAACTGTTATAACCGGAGGAAGGAAATCGCGACCCACACGTGCGTGTTCATCCATCCGTCAATCTAATGTTCTGAGATGTTCGGCGGCACACCTACGCTAACCGCCCACGTATGGCAAATAGAACTACTATGAGCCAGACCGTACGTCTAGACCAGTTTATTAGCCGCGTTGTGTTTTAGTGAAATTAAATGTGATTACGCGCCCGGACATTCGTGTTTCCCTGTAAAGGGTGTGCCTGCAATTGTGTCGCCATAATGTTCCGGAAGATAATACCTTGTGTATACGGAAGCACAGGTGGAAAATCTTTCCTATATCGAACCGTGGCGAGGAAATGTTAATTTGATTAATATAAAATGAAGTTGATTTACGCATACACATTACACTAAACAACGCTCGTTATTCTCCCTAAATTCAATTGGTTAAGGTAGCCTCGTTTTTCCGCGCTAAAAACTAAGAGCCACGACTCCTACTTTAAAAGCCGTCGTATATCTTACAAAGACACGTTTCAAGATATGATCAGTAGTAGAAAGTGTACTGCGTAATATTTAATTCTTTTTCGGAAGAAATTATGAGTGGCCAGAAGCATAGACAATGAAAATAGACTAATTAGCGTGGGCAGTTGCGTGACATCTACGACTGGGGCATTTCGGTGTAGATAAGCAAGCAATGCGGGAACCCATGGTTTGGGAGAACAACGATCTTATCTGGGCCAACTCTGGCTCGTGCCACACGCGTAGTTTCTCGAGAATGCGCACCCTCGTTCAGACGTTGAACGATAGATGCCTTTAAAATATACCTCCGATTCTATTATCTCCGAAAGAAAACGTGACTAGATACACTTTCCCTTCGACCAGCGTTTCCTTTATAATAAAACACAGCACTCTAATTCGACCTTAATTCTCGTTAAAGATCCGACGCGCGTGACCTGTACATCAAAAGAAATTAATTCATCGAATTACGGTCAGAGGGAATCAGATCAGAACGTGCATCGTAAGAGGGTTAAATTGTGTCAAGTCTGAGTTTCAATGGGTCTTCGAACTATACGATTAGCTATTAACATCAATCGCTTAAAGCTTCCCATAGTAATTTGTTCGAAAAATATGTCAAACAAGTAGCAGCCACAACCTTCGAACGTCTATATGCTAAAGGTTTAGCAAAATCCTATGCGTGTAATCGTACAGTGCGCATCAAAGATGGTGGTCCGACAGTGATGTTTCACGAAAGAATGGAACAAACAACAATGTACTTACGCGGTACCCACGCAATTAATTCGTCAAGCTCCATTGATCTTGATCGCGGTGTCTGCATACGAAATCCGGCGGTCGGTGGACCAAGAATACTATTGTCTCGGTAGATACCGTGCACTTTCTCTTGTTGCGAGAAGGAAAATTATTCGAGCGTCTAAATGCATACGCGTGTAGCACGAAGTTGCTTCCTTTTCAACACGGCGTTGTGCAACAATCGACGGTTGAATATCGTTCGACTCGCATTCTCGACGGTAGAATCGAAAAATCGCGTAGAACCGGCATTTCGTACGCGGTAACCTATTAATCGTGCGTGTTCGAGTCACGTATGCAGTGTAAACAAAACAATTTCTCGTATTCTTTTCGACCGCCGGCAACGTATCCTCGTGGCGAGCGAGCGTTACGACCGTAGTATGGAAGGCACGCGCGTCGAAGCCCGATGGTGGGGGATCTCGGTGGGCAGCCTACTAGAGGTGGACTCAGTCGTCCCGTGGCGCGTAACCTGTTAGCGTCGTTTCCGCTGTGTTCCGTGCCGGGTCCGTTTCGCTCCGACTATTTCGCACGATTTCTCCATTCAACTGCGCCGCGGGTAATTCCTCGGCGCGTTCCCCTGTTCCTGAAAACTGTACGAATCGATAATCGTGCCTCGAGATTACCGGCAGGAACACGGTTACCGATCGACACAGCAGGTCCGGGTTGACGAACCCTTCGAAGAGACCACTTGGTTACCGTAAAAAATGCAGCCCGCCGTAGGAACGTTCGAACGCCTCCGATTCTCACGAATAATTGTCGTACCGTGAATGTACGAGTAAAGAAGCAAGCCGAGATCAGTTCTACGGTAGATCGATCGAGAGAAGAGATCACGACGTAAATCGAAACGAGACGCGCGACGCACCGTTCGATCGACAGCTAGGGGAATCGAGTTTCGAAGCTCAAGAGAACGACTCGAGTTCCAGCACGGATAATCGTGTTCTATGAAGTTGCTCGCAATCCGCGTTGCAACGAACGACGACGGTACACGGGTACACGCGTGTCCGGTGAATCGTGAATCGGGACAAGGTGTTGGGACAACACGCCTAATCGATCGTTGCGTGCGAGTCCAGTGGTGTCGCGCGAAGAAGAATCGTAGTACGAGGAAGAATCCACGGAGATCGGGATCAACGGTGTGCACGGTGTGGATGAGTGGTGCTATCGGGCGATTTAGTTTATTTTGTGCTGGTAGAGGGAACCGGAAGCCGCTATATTGGAGAGGAAGCGGGAAAGCGGCGTGCCGCTATTCTGTGTACCACGGCAGAGGCGATCGTCGCAGCCAGAAAATGTAAGTTTACGTTACGTTCGTCGCACGACGAAGCTTTTATATAGATTTATTATCCTCGATCGAAATAGAATCGATGGAGTTCCGTGGCCGTGGTACGGTCCAGGGTCACTGGCGTTCGAGACGAATTATAATCTCGGTGAAAATCGTTCGCTATTCCCGCCAAAATATGTAGAATGATTCTGTCATTGGTAATACGGAACATAACCTAGACGTATAAAATTTCGCGGAATGTTAGACATTGTGCCTCACACAGACAGTTGTCATATAGTTAAAAGCAAGGTAAAATGGCGAAGTTCAGCGAATAAAGCTGTTTTAAATACTCTTTTTGCACTAAAAAGAAATTCAAGACTGGAGGTTAAAGTTGTCGCCGATCATAAAAACGTTTGAAAGTAAAATCAACGTATATTTTTCATGACGTTTGTACGATAGAATAGTTAAATTTTCACCGGTTCATTGTGAAATATTTATTTTAGAGATATATGACAGCTTTATCTAGATAAGAGTATTGCTCGTTTTCGTTCGAAAGGAATTGTTTTCAAAGGAAGCAATTCTCGTCGAAGGCATTCTCCCGTATTGTAAGAGAGCTGATTCATATCCCGTAAATCGACTTAACGTTGTTGATTACAGATAGGTGAAGGTCGCCAGTGTCCACTGAACGCCAATACTGTAACACAGTAGGTAATTCATGCTGTTGCAGCATTCTCGATGTACCGACTTCCTAGTAATCGACTTGCAATATCCTATGCATCGATTTGTTTCCTTGATCAACTCTTACGGTATTCGAGTCACAACTGCTACGATTTTACACAGCAAACGTCATTGTCTTTCCTCTTAATTTTCGAGCTCAAATTATGGAATATCACACTTCCAATTTGTCGTAATTATTTTTCGTATATTAATTTGTACAATTACCGTTGACACGACTGTTTGAACGATAATTGTAATATATGTGGGGTTATTGAGCAACAGAGGTGTACAAAGTCCGGTCTGCAGGCCAATTCAGCCAATTTGTTAAGCATATCTGGCCCACGAGATAAAATTACAGACAAGTTAAAAAATGTAAATGTTTTAAATAATCTTAATTTTTTACTATTATTTCTGATCGTTCGATAACACGTAATAATATAACGTACACAAAGAAACATGATATTTTCATTATAAAAGTTCCATTATTAAAATTGAGATTACTCCATATCATTTTTCTGTGTCTCGTTTTCTCGAGCTGGTATTTACAAAATTTAAATTGCAAATTCGCCCGGCAGTTTTCGACTATCAAACGGTTCGTCGATGATCGTTAAACCCCTCCACTACGTCCTTGCATCCTCCTCTCGAAACGGATGATCGAAGTCGACTCTTCGTTTAAAAATAATGTTTATAAATTTTCGTTTTAAACTTAAAGTACTACTCGTTATTGCTGAAAATATTTAGTCAACTTATTTATTAATTTCCCGTTTAAAATTGCCATTAAACGAGACTCGTTTAAGGTCCCCGAGACGCGTAGTTTTCACGATTCGCGTCGAATGAACGAGTGGAGCTCGCGACTGACCTTTTCGCGGGTATATTTTGCGATTGAAGAGCCTTTTCATCCTTTAGCCGGTCTCAGGATCTCGCAGCAGGCTACGTGGCTCCTTTTATCGAGGCAATTGCCCCAGGCAACCGAGTCCAATTATAACCATTTTTATTTAAACTAAGAAATTTTGTATCGCGCGAAGAATATAACAGAGTACTGTCCAGCTCGTCGAAATTATTCACAAAGATACAATCGTCGGTTGTAATCAGGTTCGTCTTAAGAAGCTCGTAATCACACATTTCGTCCACGTTCTGGAGATTTTTTGTCACTGTGCGTGGCCGTGGTCTTCTCTAAGAACGATAACTGGAAATTCGCAATTACGTTCAGACGTAATTTTCGATAAGTGGTCGCGTGGGTCGCGCGTTCCTGCCACCCACGCGATTCTCGAACTAACGAACCGTCGAAGGCCCCCGACCTATGGTGACTATAATTTCGTGAGAATTTTGTCTGCGAGCTAAGCCCCTTGTCGATACAAAACTCAATTATTATATAGATTTTCAATTTTTTAACAGATCAAAGTTTCATAGCACATGGGGTGTAAAAATGGATTTATCTCATAGTTTAGCTTCTATTTGTTATCTAGAAGAGAATGTTGTCCATCTCTGGTAAATTCAGTCGGTATTGAGAATGCATGCGTTCGCAAAAATGGAATATGGTTAGATATATTACCCCAATGTTGCAAGGGTTTATCGGGAACGATATCGAGGGTGCTTTTGACGTGAATGGAAAGAACGCGTGGGCTGTGAATCGCCCACGGTTGGACTATTACTTAATCCAGTGGTTGGGGGAACCTTTTGGCGTTAGAAGGCCACGTGTCTTTTCACGAATTCCTTATAAGGCCAGTAATAAATATAAAAATGCATACCTTAATATAAATCCTTTATCCATACAAGTTCCTTAAAATCAAAAATACTTTATCGAGCAAGAAAGTCTAATAATATCGAGACTCGATGTAACAAACGGTACTTCAACCTTTAACATTTTGTCTCGGTTTACCGGGATCGCCTAAATATCTGCATTGGTACAACTTACCCCTGTTTCAGCCTCGATCTTCCCTATATTTAAAAATAGTCCGAATGAGGTCGTGCTTGGACTCATATTCATTAGGAAAACCCTGACCTAGATCTTTCTTTTGGAATGTATGCAGAAGTCATCTCACTATAGGTCGGATTCGCCATGTTCTTAATTTTCTAGGACGACCGTAGTCCAAATGCTTTTTTTAGACTTTATTTATAATTCATCGATACCCACACACGACTAACGCGACAAATATTTTCTATCATTTAGAATTAGGCAAATTGTTCAGACCTATTTTAAACACCAACTGGGGTTACACTCGTATTTTTTAAATTTAATTTTATACGTCGCTCTATCGATCAACACACGAGTTATTATTAAACTAGATTCGATGCGTTTACTCGCGATATTAGACAAATCGTAGGGTGGAGTGTTTCGAACGTCTCACCCGGTATAGGTTGGCTGCTCGCGCGAAACATCGTGTGGCTAACTGACGTCCTGCGAGTTTTACAGAAAAAAGGGCCACTCCTGTTCGAAAGAAGCGACGTGGAATTCGTGTATCCCAGAGTGGCCGTTACAGGGAGAGAAGCCTTTGTGCCTGGCGTACAATGTTATTGTATTCCAGGCACGTATAGGCAATGGGAGTTCGTTATTACGCCTACTTCCGGTGGCCGGATCGTCGCGCGGACTGGCTCCGAGCTTTAACGCCGCTGCTCGAATATCCGAAGTCCGCGTATACAACTTTTCACGCGAATTTTGCCCCATCCGCTACCGATAAGAACCCAAGTCGAGCTACAAACGACCATACTCGTCTCCTCTATGCTTTTCTAACGGGACAAACCCGTGGTCATCGGCTGGTTCTACCAGAAACAAAGCACACAATTGTCCGGGGGTAGCGGTTCTTTATTCTTTAAACTCATATTTTTATTAATAGAATTAACGAAATGTGAGCTTCGTAAAAGGTTGTCTGAATCCCTAAATATAATAATTCCTACCTCACTTTAACCCCTTAACGCTCATGCCCGAGTCTGACTGCTTTGAAAGACGATATTTCTTTGATCTAATTGTTTAAGGGATGACGATATTTGTTTTTCTTCAAATTATACGCCGGATACAACGTTTGCAATTAAGAAAAGTCGCATTTTTATACAACTTGGAAACAAATCCAATAAAGAAAACTGAACATTCTTGGTTAACCCGAAAAATATGAGCGTTAAGGGGTTAAGTATTCTGTAGTTTCTTGAGAATTATAATGAATAAACATCCGCAGTCTAATAACTCGTATATAAAGTAAAGCAAGCGGAGACAAATCTGATAGTTCGAACGTCCACGGATGAAAAGTTATCGAGGGTGAATCGGTGCGGTATCGTTTGAAAGGCGCGACCCGATACTCGAAAATACCGTGAAAGAAGGCCAGCCCTGGTTGGAATTTTCGAACAGCTGCAGGCGCATACCTAAGCGATACCCGACCAGCCCCAGGTCGATGGAAGACCGCTCGTAAAGTCGACTAGGATTCGCCTCGACTCCGTTCGGTTCGTACGAACACGTTGGAAATAAAAGTTTACTGCTCGTCGCATTTGACTTACCGGCTACCAACTGTTGACCGTCGTTCCACTCCGCGAATGCTTTTCGTTTCCACCCCTCCCGTAGTACGGCGGACCATTCTAACGATCAGCACGCAAGAAATGCGCGGCAATTTTTACCACGCAACCGGGTATACCGGGGAGCCAGAGATTTATCATCCACAGAATTCGAATTTACGAAATACAAATTTTTCTCACGCTGGAAACGTTAGTTAGGACTATTTTATGTAAGCAGTGTTTTGATATACATTTCCGACCACAGCCTGTATACATAGTTTCTGGCAACATTATTATTAACCAACGATCGGTATCAGAACACGTTTTACCGGCGGAAAACAGATTTCTCTCGCATTGTAAACGTCGCTCAAGGGCGATTTTTATAGCCCCCAGTGTGCGTGGAGGCGCTCCGATTTTAACGCGTTGAAACACGATGATTGCTCCGCTCGAGGACGCCGGAACGCCTAATGTTTATTAGTTGGCGTAATACGAGCAGCTTTCAAAATATTTGATCCTCCCGTTCGAGCGATAAACTCGTTCGAACGGCCTAATTTGTAGGCAGAAAAGGGATCGACCATATGGTCGAGTGGAACCCCGGCAACTCGAACCCTGAAACCTTTCAGTAGCCTGGATCGTTCACAGATTCTTTCTCCTCGATCCTGATATCGTCGAGGTTACCACCAGTTAACCCTTTCGTGCAGACCAATTTCAGGCAATTTATATCAATGGTCCTCGAAGTATGGCGATTCCTAGAAAAGGAGGGACGAGAAAGATTTTCTCCTATTATAAGTAATTAATGACTCGACAAACGTAAGTCCTCTTTTAATAAGAAT